ATTTATTTTATATTTATGTAAATTTAAGAAGCGGTTTTTTTATATTTAAATACGTTTTATATTATATAAAATTATAATAACGATTAAAAATTTCGAATAAATAATAAGTTAAAATTATACCCGAGTTATAAATAACGTTTTAACTTCGTAATTTATTTTAATATATTAAGGCCGGAATTTTAATTTAATAATAATTTAAAAAAATAAGTATAATATATTAATAAAAAGATAATTAAATTTATTAACATTATATTATAAAATTTTATAAAAATATATATTAATAATTACGTAAATTTTAAATTTAATAAAACGTAATTTATAATAACCGTTTATATATTATATATAATTAAAACTTAAAACTTTTAATTACGTTCGTTTTATTTTAATTTACGATTTTAAATTAACACGTTTTTATATAATTTAAAAATAATATATACGATATATATCGTATATTATTATTCGTAATATAAAAATTTATAAAAATTTACGAATGTGTTTTTAAAATAAATCCCGTTTTATATGTTTAAAAAAATTAAATGTTTATATATATTCGTCGAGGAAATTTTTTAATTTTATTATTACGTTTTATCGTTTATTAAAATTAATTATTTTTTTTTATGTCGTTTTTTATTCGAATTTAAATAAAAAAAACATGTGATAATTTTACGTTTTAAAAATATTAAAAGTAATTTAAAATTTCCGCATTATAAAACTTTATAAAATAAAATAAATATTAAATAAAATTTATAAATTTAAAAGTATAAAACATTAAATTATATCGAATTTATTATAATTAACATTTTAAAGTTCGGCGTATTAATTTAATTTTAAGTTTTTTAATTTTTAAATATTTAACGATTAAATTATATAATAATTTAATTTTAAAAAATTAACGAATTTTAACTTCGATAATATTAATATTATATTCGTTTTTTAAAAACTTTTATTTTTTTAAATATTATCGTAAAATTTATTTATTTATTATAATATTATATTTAACTTAAAGTTTTTAAATAATATTAAATTAAATAATTTTATAATTAATTAAATTTCTTATATAATATTATATTTATAAAATATAAAATAAAACTTAAAATATTAACGATAAAAATTAAAAAAATATAAAATGATTTTTATTTTTTTAAAAAACGGTTAAATTATTCGAAATAAAAAAAAAATAATGTTATTTACGTTATATAATTTTCGCGCGTTTTACGTGTTATATTTTATTTAAATTTAACGTATATTTAATTAACATAATTTTCGCGTTAATTATATTTACGATATTTTTATTTAAAATTTATTTTTTTAAAATATATTTAAATATTTATATATACGTAATATTTTAAATTAATTAATAATATATATTTTATTTAATATATATATATATTTTATATTTAAATATATTTAAATATATATTTATTTACTTTTTATTAAATAATATTATTAAGTAAATTTTATTAAATATTTTTTTTAACTTATTTTTATTTTTTTTTTTTATTTTTTTTTTAATTTTATAAAAAGTTAAAAAAATAAATTTCGTTTTATTATAACATGAAAAATTTTTTCGTAACATTTTTAATAATTTTTTTATAAATTTTATTAATTTTAAAAATACTATATATTTTACGTAATTAATTATTATTTATATTTAAATCGTTCGTAAAATTTTTAATATTTCGTATATAAAGTAAATCGATTTTAACATTATAATTATTAACGATTAAAAATTTAAAATTATTATTTTCGTTTTTATATTTTATTATATTATTAATTATTTTTAAAAATAAACGTAAATGTTTTCGTAATTAAAACGATTTATTATTATAATTATTATTATAATTATTATTATAATTATTATTAAAATTTTTATTATCGAAATTATATTAATTATATATATTATTAAAGTAATCGTTATAATACGTAAAATTAAAAAAATTTAAAAAAATAATATTAACGTTAAGTTTATTTTTAAACTTTTTTTTACTTTTTTAAGTTTTAAAATATATACGTTTCGTATTAATTAAATTAAATTCGATTTAACGGGTTTCACTTCGTAATTAAAAAAAACCTTTAATTATATTTTTTTCGATTTTTTTATAATAATCATTTTCCGTTTTTTCTTAAAAGTTAAATATAATAACTTTATTTATTTTATTAAATAATATTAATATAATTAATTTAATAAATAATAATTACGTGAATTAAACGAATAAATATTTTAATATAATTTTTTTAATTAAAAAAAACGGTTAATTATAAAAAAAAATAATTAATTTTAAATTATAATTTTCGAATTTACTTAAAATTATAAATATATAAATACGTATTTTACGTACATTATTAATTTAAAAATTAAAGTTAATTTTTAAGAAAAATGTAAAAATATTATTATTATATAATTTATAAAAGTTTATATAAAAAAGTAAAATATTATAATAATTATAAAATAAATTATTTTATTAATAATTAAATTTTATATATTTATATATATAGTTTTATTTAAATTATTTTTTTTTACGTTTTAAAATAATATAATATAATTTTAAATTATATAACGTTTTTATTATACGGTACGATTTATTATAATAATTAACGATTAAAAAAAAATTATTAAAATATTAACGTTTATTCGTTTACGCGGGGATATTTTTAATATTAATTAATTAATTAATACTTAAAAAATAAACGGATTTTTAAAAATTTAAGATTTTATTTTTAAAGAATAATTAATAATTAAAAGTTAAAATAATAAAATATCGGTTTAAATAATAATCGTTAATATTTAAAAAATATAAATATATAAATATATTTTATTAATTATTTTCGTATTTTAAAATATAAAAAAAATATTAATTATATTATAAAATATTATTATTAAATACGTTAATAAAAAGTTTATTTATTTTTACGTGTTTTAATAAAAAAAAATTATTATTTATTAGTTTTTTATTAATATTACGATTTTATTTTTTTTTATTAATTTATATATTTTTAATTATAATATAATAAACGTAATATATAATAAAATAAAAAAAACTTTTATTAATAACTTAAAAATTTAATAAAAAATTTAATTCGAAATAAACGAAATAATAAATATTAATATATTAAAAAAAAATTTCGGTTTTTTTTTCGATTAATAATTTCGAAAATATAAAAATCCCTAAAAAATTTATAATAAATTAATATTTTATTAATATAATAAAATAAAATTTAAATAATATAATTATTTATATAAATAATAAAATAATAATAATAATAATAATAATAACGTATTTACGTTAAAATTAAAATAATAATAATTAAATTATATATTAAATAAATTTAAAAATAAAAATAAAAATAATTACGTTATAAAATTTTATTAATTTATTAATAACGAATTATTAAATTAAATTCGTTAAATTGTTAATTTAATTAATATATTAAAATATATATAATATAATATAATATAATAACGTATAATTTAATATATATTTTATATAATATATTAAATTTTATAATAAGTTATAACGTTATAAAACGTTAAAAGCTTTATAATTTATAAACGTTATAATATATTAATTTTTTATATTTTAAAAATAAATTATTACGTTATTTATTAATAACGTTACGTATTAATTTAATATAATTTATAAAATTATAAAACGAAAAGGTTATATTTTATAAAGTAATTATAATATCTAAATTTTTTCGATAATTTATTTCATAAAAAAAATCCGAACGGTATTTAAAAGTGGTTTAAGTAAAAACCCCCGCCTAGAATATCATCCTAACTTCTTCTTTTCTTCTCCCCATAATCCAACACTTATAATCCACAACTCAAGACCTTGTTGCTTGTGTAAAGTCTTATCCCGAACAAGCTTCTTCTAGTGTCGATATATCCATTCCAATTATGGCCAAAATGGCCTTCAATCCCTCATCATTAATTCATGTTTTAAGTGCCCTGTAGTGTACTGTAATCTTCTTCTTCATTTCCATAATATCCACACCCACAGACGCTGCAAGGGTCCCTGATCTCTCATACCCAGCCTAAACCCTGCGCCGCTCTTGAAACACACCAGCTTCTCCATTCAAAGCCGTACGATTGGCTTCTCGACTTTCGACACCAAGAGATGCTCCATATTTCTGTCAGGCCTTTGTCGAGGAATAGGGCATACCTTGCTCATAACGCTCCGTAACAGTAAATGCTTGAGAAGAGAAGCCTTTGTTCCTTTGCTACCTGCCTACCCACCTATTCAGCCATAATCATCATAGTCTTTGTAATCATCGACAAGACTTGCTTACCCTCGATTCTCTGTCATCTTTGGCCGACAGCCGACAATGGATTGTTCTATCACGATGGTCTCTACTATGCCGTTGGATGTTTCATGTAAGTGCGTGGGGGTTTTGACCGTTAGTTGAAAATTTTATCTAGGTAAGTAAATTTTTAGCATCTGAGGAAGGCAATTATGAAGCATTTTTCCATTTATTATAACCGTATTAGTGTCAGCCAGAACTGGCCATGATAGCCATAATAATATACTGACTGGTATCGCATATTCGGCAATATTTTGGGGGCTGCGTCGGCAGATATCGAGAACCATACGCTGTACACTGTTGAGGCGTAATTCCCCAGAAACTGTTATTGGGGGGGGGAACTTGAGCCCCTGCATTAGCTCCTGAAGCTTCACATCCACTGGATCTCTTCCTTGCAGACCAGTCAGGCTCTCAATTACGAAGTTGACTCTCCGTTTTGAAAAAAGAGCCCCCTCGGCTATGCCACACCATGCGTCTTAAGAAGATTCCTAGTGGGTCCCGTTTCGATTGTCGACGGGGAACATGACGACGCATATCCTATTCGAGTGAATAGTACCGCCGTCGTCCTAGCACTCGAGACAAACCACGCATCATATCCATGATCGGCTCTAGCAAGCTTGGCTAGAGCTTGTTTCTGATCTCCATGGAGATCGAATGATGGTGTACATGGGTTAATCCCTGACCCCCTTTTTCGTTTCTCTTGTCACTTGCTTGGCTTCAAAAGCAGAGGTCTTGGCTCTCTTCTATTCTCTATTTTTTTTTTAATCTTCAACTCTCATGAAGTTCGTTGTCTGAGACAACTTCCATTCAGCAGCTGCTTTATTGTTTCCTTTCTATTCGTCTCTCATTGCTTGCTGGTGCTCTTAGTTTCACCATTCTTTCTTCGAAGATCCGTCCACTTCAAAACCGACCCGTCCTAGTCGAATCGCCAAGTGAAGTTTGTTTCTTCCGTGTCACTTCTTTTTCAATCCACCTGGCGTGGTGATACGTATATTATTTTTATATTATTTCTCTTTTTTTCTTGGGGAATACTTGGAACATGCAGTCCCTCGCACAACTACTTTTGGTCTTCGGACTCGTAGCCTTAGCTTCTTCGTCTCCGACGGGGATTCAAAAACGAGGCGTATACAAGGTCGAACGAGTAGCGAATCCGAACTTTACTGGCCGCAATGGACCTCGAGCTCTGCTGAAGACGTTGCGAAAGTACCGGATGCCCATACCGGCTTCCGTAGCGAGCGCTGCTCAACAAGATGAAATGATTACAAAGAGACAGAACCGCAAGAAGGGGAAGGGTCGCAAGGGCAAGGGAGCTGGCGCAGCCGGTGCCGCTGCTGGTGCTGGTGCAGCCGCCGCCGCTAAAGGGTCAGCTGCTAACGGGACCGGCCTTGTCACGAACACACCCGAGGCCAACGATGTCGAATACCTCTCGCCCGTGAACATTGGTGGACAGACCTTGAATCTTGATTTCGACTCTGGTTCATCTGATTTGTGGGTTTTTAACACGCAGCTTAGCAAGACCGCAACCCAGGGTCACCAAGTCTACGACCCAACACAGTCCAAGACGTTTGCTCTCATGCAAGGTGCCTCGTTCCAGATCTCTTACGGTGATGGATCAGGAGCTGCGGGCAATGTCGGAACCGATACCGTTAACATTGGTGGTGCTACCGTCACCAACCAGGCTATTGAAATGGCAACTGCCGTCTCTTCGTCTTTCGTCAAGGACACCGCAAATAACGGTCTGCTTGGTCTTGCCTTTAGTCAGCTCAATACGGTGCAGCCGGCTCAGCAGAAGACATTCTTCGACAATGTCAAGTCATCTCTCGCCGAACCCCTGTTCACTGCCGATCTCCGCCCTCAAGCAGCGGGTGCTTATGAGTTTGGCCGTGTAGATACGAGCAAATTCACTGGTGCTATGACCTGGGTTCCCGTTAACACGACGGCTGGCTTTTGGCAGTTTACTAGCCAGAGCTTTGCCGTCAACGGTGGCACTCCGCAGACTTCCACTGCCGGAGCTCAGGCCATTGCTGACACCGGCACTACCCTCCTCCTGGCCGATGCTGCCGTAGCCAAGGGTTACTATGCGCAAGTTCAGGGTGCCGTCAATGACCAACAGCAAGGTGGTTTCACATTCCCTTGCGACGCGACTCTACCCGACCTTCAGTTGGACGTTGGTGGCACCATGGCCACCGTCAAGGGCGCCGATATCAAGTTTGCCCAAGTCGATGCTCAGAGTAAGTTACCCAAACCCATATATCCCGCATTCACTTTGCTAACAGAACACAGCTTGCTTCGGTGGTCTACAGGCTACAACGGCCGGCCTACAGGTTTACGGCGACATCTTCTTCAAGAGCAACTTCATCGCCTTCAATGGTGGCAACAACACTCTGGGATTTGCGGCGCACGCTTAGGCGAGCTTGCCTGTAGCCAGCTGTACACCTATTTCCTGTGAAATATGAGGATCACCTGTATATACTATTTGATATTTCTACCAAGGGCATGAGTCAGGATATAGTAGACTTGGAGATTTACTGAGGACCATGGTACTTGTACATACCCATGAATTTTTAGAGGAACATTAGCAACTGCAGCACTTCGGAGTTTCACTATGTGGCATGTAACATGAACGTGCAAGAGTATCCTACATTGGAACGAGATCTGAATTTTGAGAAGTGTGGCGCCAACATAGGTAAGTAAATGGAGATACATGTCAATTATTCAAACTTCAAGATTGAGATATGTGATAATCTGCTATTGTCTGGTGAACCCTTTTTACATCTATTATTCAGTTTCGATTCGTAAAATTATCGCAAGGTTCTTCTATGCTGGTATCAAATATCTGAACCATACCTACCTACCTATGATAGATAGTAAATCTGATGTTAAATTTGTTACTGAAACGCCCCCTGACGACGCGGCCTCACCACGATGTGGCCGCATTTCGCGCCTTTCGCCTCGTGCAGTCCACAGCTCAAAAGTTAAAATCAGTTGATTGCCCAGGTGGCTAACTGGTTGGTTCATATCATTTACACTGTTTACTCGCAAAGTCTGACTATTTGAGGTCATACTACATCCTCGCACCGAAACGAAGCGCGCTTCCTTTTAGATTTTTTCAAACGGACCAGCCACATTCCTTCCTTTGAACCCGACGTAGACGCCATCGGCGATAACAGCTTTGCCGGAACTTAATCCTTCCGGAGGCGCAGATGTTGGACCGATGAGAAGACCGTGTGGCCGAGGCCTCGTCTATTACTGTAGATGATGAATCCGTGGCGTAGGGCGCTACCTATCAAGTAATTCCAACAACGACTCGTTCTTTATGATTCTAAAGGTAGGTAGGTAGGTACCTACACCTACCTAATTCTGAATTGTAAGACACCCATACCAAAGTAGCATCATCAGAGCAAAGTAGAACGATCTTGTCCGCCAACCATTTAATTGGAATTAATTCATCGCAAACGCACCGAGAACCATCGCCGATTGGCTGATTCACTTAGTATACCAAGATGCCCAAGCATTTTAGATCGCATGAGAGTTACATCGTGAAGAAATAAATTAAGCTGAGCCGGTCCCAATTATTCGGCGAACACCTAGACTTGTGCATAAGGCTGTCCGATTCGTCGTTCGAGAAAAGTGCGCTAGAATACCCTAAGGTCCTTACCTAGCAGCCTAGGTAGGCATGAGAAGATGGGCAGAATGAAGCTAATAACATACTCGGAAAGTTGAAGCCGTAGACGGTATTGAATTACGTACAGAAAACCACCTGGGCAAACGTCAGCTTCCCGAGTAGTGATGTACACGGACATTGCATGAATACCGATTTCAATACGGATTTATAATTATCTTCGTGTTCTAGAAATACTTTAATAGATCATAACAAGCTTCGGTATGAGGTTGAAATCATGGATACCTACAAGCAGTCAAGGATCGGTTCTTACTTGAGTTAGGAACTTGGAAGTGTAACAGCCTTGAAGGCAGGGCAGCAAGGACGGTTCCCTTAAGAGATCCAAGTACCGGATGTGCAGCGAATACATCAGTTAAAGGTGTTTGTTCGACTAGTCTTCCGAAATCGGAAAAGACGATTGGTTCCCCTTGCGACGCCAATGTATTCATCATAGATCAGGTACGAAGTGTGAGCTGACCCCCATTTATTAACACTCCATCTTCATGACCTACCTGCCAGAATAGCGTCAGAATAAATGGGCCATGTGTGAACCACCCGAAATGGTACTGTATTACACTGTGTTTTGATCTATCCCCTATATTATCTAACTAGGAAATTGTCAGCTTTACCTCAGCATCAAAGAGTCTAGGGGATAGTAAGCTTACAGTGTATTACAGTAGTATTAATACATGGCTCGCACATGGCTCACTTATTCTGACGCTATTCTGCCTGCCTACCTACGTACCTACTATGTAGGTACATACATACATACACACATACATACACACATACATACCTCTTCCGCCAACGGTCACCCGCATCGCGAACAAGACAAATACTCCACGATCATGCTCGACCAGCAGTTGACGTAAAAGTTTTACCCACTAATGGAGACTAATGCACCAAGCTACGTGGCGAACCTGGTTCTTATGAGCAAAGGACCTGCCTACTTCACCAGCTCTACCAACCACATGCCACGGCCGGATGATCTGATACCATACTGGGCATCGCCTTCTAAGTCAGCTCGATGCGCTCGAGATCTTAGAGCTTGGGGGACCTACACCATCAACCATTCAGGCGGAAACCCCGTAATACGATGCATACGAGCAACTTACCTGTTTTGTCTTGCTCTCTTGCGAAAAGGTGAGCCAGCCGTTCGTGCATAAGGTGAAGAAGATGTGGAATAATAGGATGTAGATCTTTTTTAGGTACCACATTTACTTACCTACATCTGCCCTGCTCCGAATGTGCAGATGCCACTCGGACTGTGCTAGTAGTACCTAAAGGTACCTTGAAATTTACAACAAATTCGGAGCATCGGATCGTTAATAAGACTGATGAGTTACTTGGGAGTTAAGTCTTGTAACTCGTGAGTCTCCTTTTAAGTCATCTGCTCGAAAGAATTATACGTACGCACATACATACTTACCTACCTACCTAGTAGGTAAACTTCAACATGACATCCATCTAGTGAATCACACTCACACACTTTTTGCGTCTTTTATGTCGTTGTATTCTTGGGGGTTAATCTATAGGTAGGTATTGTATCTACAGTACCTACAGTACCTAGTCTGCTACCTACTGTAGGTGGTATGCTCAAGAATTAAACGACCGCTCTCACTGGCTGTTCTTCCTTAGCGCGTATCGACGGGTGCTCGGGTGGGGTAGGCTATCTTAGCTGCAGCGTGGCGGAAAATGAGGGCATACGCAGGTTTGAATAATTGCAGATGCAAAACATCCAAAAAAGGAAATAGGCGCTCGGAGTTTACACTCGTAAGGAGTAAGCTATGCCGAGAAGTCGCCTGTCCAATGTCTATGCCCCCATAGAATGTCGTTCAAAAGTTGCCGCCGAGGCTTTAGAAAGAGTTCGAGTATATGAATTTTGCGACGTCGATTATACATAGTACACTACTACCAAGGATCGACCCGGGTCTTCCTTGGCTTTAACCAGGTTTCTGAAATTACTACGAGTTATCTGATCCGTTTAAAGTTATCAGATCCGCCTTCTTGTGGAGAAGAACGTACGTTGGCGTCTTCTTGGTGTCTTCTTGGGATCCGTTATAACGGCCCTCTTTAGGTCCCCCTCCTGGACCCTCCGTTACTCCATTACGCTGTACTATGGTAAAGCGTTCTAGGGCCGAAAAGGAATGTTGCTTCAAGTGAGCCACATACTTCGGTCAACATTCTCTTCGTAACCTGGTGCCTGTGCTAATGAATCGTGGGATGAACCAGTTGCCGTTGTCGGCAAGAATGGAGACAGGTATGGAACTATCATGTGCTTGCTGGTCTTCTCATTCCCCTGTTAGTCTTCTAGGCGTTCGGTGTCATGTTTTTTTGGGGAGGTTTTTTTTTTTCAAATTATTATTTTTATTTTAAAGTGATCCACGATCAGCATGCTTCTGCATTCTGCATTTTGTAAGACACTTAACAAGTCTCTAGGCTCCACTTGCCCGTGAAGAGACATGCGAGAACTCCGTTATTCGGGCGCATGAACAACTGTAGACCAAGCTCGAAAGACTTTCTCAACGAATGGGTAACGTCGTCGCCGGAATGTCAGCAATGGAGCAGAACGACGTCGACATTTCGTGTGCTAACTCCATCCACACCGACGAAGGTGTGTCGAGTGGCCATCTAACGACGCCACCGACGGACTTCGAAGAAGATGGCATAACCGCAGAGCAACTGGAACAGATATGGAGTTGGAATACTCCGGTTCCCCCGACCTTGAAGACATGCATGCACGAATTGGTTGCCGAGCAAGCGAATAAGGATCCTAGCCGACCAGCAGTCAACTCATGGGATGGCGCATTCACATACGGCGACGTGAACTCGAAATCAGATCAATTCGCGGCTCATCTGGTTTCAGTAGGCGTGAGAGTAGGATCTATTGTGCCGTTATGTTTCGAGAAGTCGAGATGGACGGTTGTGGCCGTTTTGGCCGTTATGAAGTCCGGAGGCACATTTGCGCTTATGGACCCAAGTCAGCCCGAGGGAAGGTTACGTACTATCGTCGAACAAACCGGCGCGTCGATTATCGTAACTTCAAAGCAACAGGAAAACCTCGGCAGTCGCATTGCGCCTAACGGAACGCGAATCACCCTATGCGACGAGAACTTCACCAGCTATGACACATCATCAAGCTTACCTTCTGTGCCAGCAAGTGCAGATCTCTACATACAATTCACCTCAGGCAGCACCGGAAAACCAAAGGGTTGCGTGGTAACGCATGAGAACTACTCTAGTGGAGCGATACCGCGTGCGGATATAGTCGGATATCGTGCGCATTCCCGAGTTCTCGACTTTGCATCCTACGCCTTTGATGTCTGCATCGACTGCATGCTCTGTACATTGTCAGTCGGAGGCTGTCTATGCATTCCCTCGGATGCCGATCGAGTCAACGATTTAAGCGGTGCTATACGGAAGATGAAAGTCAACATGGCTAGCATGACGCCCTCTGTTGCACGTGTTCTTGATCCTGATATCATACCTTCGCTTGAGGTTCTCGGGTTAGGAGGAGAAGCTATATCGGCAGGAGACGCAGCTGCTTGGAGTCGTCACGCAAAAGTCATAAACGCATACGGCCCTTCAGAGTGTACCGTAGGTTGCGCCGTGAACGGTGATGTCGGATCTGAGAGCCATAAACCGGCTGTCAGCATCGGCAGGGGAGTTGGAGGATCGCTCTGGATCGTCGACCCTTCTAACCATAACAAACTCGTAGCCATAGGCTCAGTTGGCGAACTTCTAGTCGAGGGAGCTATAGTAGGACCGGGATACTTGAACGATCCTGAGAAGACAGATGCGGTATTCATCAACAACCCAAAGTGGCTTCTTGCTGGGAGCCCGCAACATGATGGCCGCAAGGGCCGGTTGTACAAGACTGGTGATCTCGTGAGGTATGATCCTGACGGGACGATTATCTTCGTCGGTAGAGGTGACCAGCAGGTGAAATTACGCGGGCAAAGAATCGAACTTGCAGAGATTGAGTACAACATGCTCGACAAGCTACCACCGGGAACTCGTGTCGCCGCTGAAGTCATCCGACCTGGCGGTCCCGCAGGTGAACCGACCTTAGTTGCGTTCGTCGCCGAGCGAGCAGGCCTTGTGTCAGAGTCGGATTCCCTTCTGGGTTCGCTCTCCTCCCACGTCTTGGACTCTCTCGCAAACATGAACAAGGCTCTTTCGGAACACCTCCCTATTTACATGATTCCTGCAGCATATATCCCGTTACAAACCATGCCCCTATTGGTGTCAGCGAAGACCGATCGTAAATGTCTTCGAGAGTTAGGACATTCGCTAAGCAGGAAAGATATCGCCAAGTTTACCGCCGCGATGGTTCCTAGAAAAGAGCCTTCGACCCCAGCAGAGAAGAGCCTAGCTCAGCTATGGAGTCAAATCCTAGGTCCCGAGGTGGAAATCGGCGCTCACGACAACTTCTTCAGCTTAGGGGGCGATTCCCTTCGTGCAATGAAACTAGTTGCTGCCGCGAGAGTACAAGATATCGCACTCACGGTTGCGGATATTTTCGCCAATCCGGTACTTTCGGATATGGCTCTCGTTGCAAGACCTGGCTCTGGGGAATCGAGTGTCGAGATCCCGCCCTTTTCTCTTCTTGGCGAACAGTGGAGTGAAGAGTCTGCTAGAAACGAATGTGCTGCTTTCTGCGACGTCGATCCATCAGCGATCGAGGACATCTACCCATGCACGCCTTTACAAGAGGGTCTCATGGCTCTGTCTGCTAAGGTCAGCGAAGCCTATGTCGCGCAACGTGTAGTTGAACTTGTGGATGAGACAGCGGTACAGAAGCTTGCCGATGCTTTCAAGTTGGCGTCCAAGGACTGTGCAATCCTCCGAACAAGAATTGTTCAGGTTCCAGGCCAAGGATTGATGCAAGTGGTTGTCAAGGACGATTTCGATTGCAAGACATTATCTGGACAGAGTCTTAATGATTACCTAGTCCAGGATCGAAGCGACTCAGTCCAACTTGGCAAACCTCTAGTTAGATACGGAGTGGTTGTCAACGAAATATCCACAGGAAAGTCGCATTTCGTCTTGACGATGCACCACGCTCTCTACGATGGTTGGTGTATGCCTCTAATCGTTGACCGAGTCAACAGAGCGTACAATAACCTTTCGACCGAGAGGCCGGCTGATTTCAAGCATTTCATTCACTATCTTGGTGACATGGATAGAAAAGAGTCGGAATCATTCTGGAGAGAAAGGTTGGATGGTGCCAACGGAGAGCAATTCCCCACTCTCCCCTATTCTGGCTACCAGCAACAAGCCGATTCCCTCCTGGAACACTACGTACACACCGGAAAGCCCAATAGCGGAATAACAATCGCTACAATCATCCGAGGGGCTTGGGGATTGTTGGTCTCGAATTATATGGCATCAAACGATGTCGTGTTCGGCGAGACACTCACTGGCCGCAACGCCCCGATTCCGGGTGTTGAAGAGATTGAAGGGCCTATGATCGCTACTATACCGGTCCGAGTTGCCGTTAACCCTGAAATGACAATAACAGAGTACTTACAAGATATCCACGATCAATCAGTCGCTAGCATCCCCCATGAACACTTCGGGTTACAACATATTAGACGCTTAAGCCCGGATGCTCGAGAGGCTTGCGAACTGAGGACCGGTCTAGTGTTACATCCTAGCACGGATGCTGATGCTGAGGCTTCAAGTGATAAACAACCAGCGGACAGCTTTGTCCCTGCCGGCGATGCCGAAGCGGCAGAAGAAGCACTCAAGTTCAACACTTACGCTCTGATGTTGGTGTGCTCTCTAGACCCTCAAGGTTTCTTAATTATGGCCAGTTTCGACTCCAAGACGGTGACGAGTCCCCAGATGGAGAGAATGCTGCATCAACTTGGGCAGATTACACAGCAATTTATCAAGAACCCGGACGCCAAATGCGGCCAGCTTCAGATTCTAACTGAAGCAGACACATCCGAACTCACTCGTATAAGCAAGATTGGTGCAGAAAGTGAAGCCGTCAAGACTTTGATCCCGGCCGATTCCGAGGCATCTGAGGCATGGATTGTCGACCCGACAGAAATAGAGAGGTTACTCCCCTTAGGCGCTGTCGGAGAACTCCTAATACGGAGCTCAAGCAACCTGAGCTTAGAGTCAGTACCATCACCTAAATGGGCTGAACAGAGCCAAGACGGCCAATTATATAGAACCAACAAGCTCGCAAAATACGATGCGAATAATGTAATCACATTCGTTGAACGAACAACCCCCGTAAAGGAACCAGTGGCCCCTCGACAAAAGCGCGTATCGGCTACTTCAGCGAAGCAAAAGAGTCTGCGACAAACCTGGAGCCGAATTATAGCTATCGACGAAGAAGACATCGGATTAAACGATAGCTTCTTCCAGCTTGGAGGAGACTCCATCGGGGCCATGAAACTCGTATCTGAACTTCGAGTGAAGGGTCTTGAGATAACGGTACCTGAAATCTTTAAGCACCGAACATTGTACGATATGGCCAAGGTTCTAAGAGAAAGAGAACAAGTACCGGTCGAATCTGAAGAGGCGCCCCCGTCTCCATTCTCACTACTCGATGTTCCAGACGTCGAGGCCTTCATCGCCGAAACAGTTCGACCAGTTCTTCCTCAAGGGGACCACGTAATCAAAGATATCCTACCAACGCGACCACTCCAACAAGTCGCCGTCAAGGGTACCGTTCAACTCCCCCGCTTCTCCTCGCGATACGAACTCTTCCACCTCGACGGACACGTAGACCAAGAGCGCCTCTTCACAAGCTGCCGCGATCTCGTCGCGCGCAACGAAGTCCTGCGAACGGTCTTCGTCGAGAGCGGCGAGAAGTGCTTCGGCGTCGTCCTCGAAGCACTCCCCGTATCAATCGACGAGTACGAAATCGAAGGAGACCTCGACTCATTCGTGCACAAGCTATGCGATCTAGACGTGCAGACCAAGATGCCGCTCGGCTCCGCCTTCGTCAAGTTCTTTTTCGTGCGCGGCGAGGGCGCCAAGAGCTGTCTCATCTTCCGCATCTCACACGCGCAGTACGACGAAGTCTGCCTCCCCGCCTTAATCCGCCAGCTCGCGGCTCTGTACGATGGTGAGACGACGCCGGATTCCGTGCCGTTTTCGTCGTTCGTGTACCATATCATCAATAAGTGCATCCCGCGCAGCATACCGTACTGGACAGACTTGTTGAAGGACAGTCAGCTCTCGATCCTGCGCCCAGATCTGCCGCTTACTTCGAGGGTCCCCGATGCTATTACCCGCACGGTGGATATCTCCGCGCGCTTAAAGGATATCACGATCGCGACTCTACCTACCGCCGCGTGGGCGCTGTGTCTAGCCCGCCGTCTATCTCTCCGTGATGTCGTGTTCGGTGAGGTTACCACCGGACGCAACATCGACTTACCACATGCTGACGCCGTCATGGGACCAACATGGCAATACGTACCCGTGCGGGTGCGCTTCGACTCCGACTGGAAAGCAGTGGACCTACTACAACACGTGCAACACCAACACATCGAGAGCGCGCAGCACGAAGGCATGGGTCTCCTTGAGATTGCGCGGGAGTGCGTCCCGTCCTGGCACGAGGCTGGCGTAAATTGGTTCGACAGCGTCGTGCACCAGGACGTGTACCATGTCGAGGAGCTCAAGTTCGGCGGCGACCAGGCCGAAGGCCGGCTTGAGACCGTGTACCCGCACTACGAGCCGCTAAGGGAATGGAAGATACAGGCTTTCGTGAAGGGGGATAGTCTGATGTTCGAGATTGTCACATTTAAGGATTGGATCCCCGTCGCGGAAGAGCTGCTAGATGAGTTGGAGGAGATTATGGGGTTGTTGGTACGGAGGCCGAATGAACGACTTTTTGAATAGGGGGTTGGGTTTCTAAGGAGATGGTATTTGGGTGCATGAGAGCATGAGAGCATATAACTGAGCATATAACTTGAGATTCGAGTAGATATTTATTTTGTGTTGTTAGTCTATCTTTCTTTTTGTAGAATTTGGAATAGGTATCTTAGATTTTGAAATTCATGCTATATATTTATATTTTGCTGTTATCTTTCACTTTTGTATATAACCTCACTTATCAAACAACTAACTATGTCAAAATAAAGCTCTCTCTCTTTTTAACACATATTTATAATTAAAATATGGAGAGCTTATTTCAGCAAGGTCGAAGGCCCTATAGTCCTACCGGTGGGCCTAGTATTGACCCTAAGAATAGAAGCCTAATTAATGGAGGCAACCTGCTGTAATCTGTTAGTCGGGGCTGTTTAAAATATTTTTGGTGTTCTATTATAGGCGGCGCTTGGCCGAAATGCGCTGAAACTACCCGAACTAACAGTAGGATCACCTATTCACCCCTTAACGCCGTACACTCTTCCATCGTTCGGGCGCTTACATAGTACTATCAAATACACATGACTCTCGGTATTTCTGGAAGATACGTACCTGGTAAATAGGATTGTATTTTCGAACAAGGTGAGCAGTTCTAGGATGTTAAATAACCTCATGCAGGGAAGCCTCTTCGGTTCTATCTCACCCAATCAGGCGGATGAATAAACAATCCCTCTCTTCCTCTTTGGCAGAAAGCACATGTATCTCTTTTCTAGAAGTCAGCCTTCCGAGCTCGAAATTCCTACGTACCTAGTACCTATTTAGTAATACGCCCAAGGACTTCTGAACTACATGTGATTCCGGATTTGTAGCACACGGGACGGACCCGCCATCTCTTCGATGCTTTTCATAATCTCTATCTCTCGTGGAATAATCTTGATCGAGTGATTTGGAAATACTTTATTTATTTTTGAAATCTTATGTATAATGCCCCGTGGGTCAATTAGCCCGTAATAGAATAGACACAAATACCAAACAAATAATAATCGGCAAGCTTGAAGGGGTTGGAAGTCTAAAGCACGTTGCCCAAATCATATCCAGTCCGCCGTTGAACCATTAACCCAACACCGTTCGACGGTATCTACTGAACGCCATGTAATTTAAGTCTCGGGTCATCTCTTACTGACATTGTTGGCTTATTATATTCTTCCTGCGTAACCGGGCTTGCCATCTCTCGCCTTCCTGTTCCTGTACATGTCTCGGTAGTTGTATCGTTCGTATGTACCGAATGCGTAGAACCCAACACCGACTACAAGCCAGATGCTGGTAATGATCAGACCAACCGGGAAAATTAGGATGTTGACTCCAGGCAGCACAAAAGCGACGGTGCCATTGCGTAGTCCGGCGACGGCTTCGTCGACAGCCAGGGAAGCGAGCGAAACGTCGGACATGACGACTTCGTTCGAGAAGATACCGTTGACGAAAGCGGCCTCGTTGGAAGAGACGTTCGTGCTGACTTGAGGACCGGTCGGACTCTTGCCAGTCAGTGTGACGATGGGCATCACCAAGGCTTCTAATACTCCCCTATTGAATTGTAAGCATTTACGGCGCAAGAAGCAACGTGTGACAGGAAAGATCTACTTACATTGTCATGGGTTCGGCCATTTTGGCTTTGTCTATTTGGCCTACGAACATATATGTCTGGAGAACTGTAGGTGCCGCAGTCTGTCGTTTACCCACGCCGGAAGTTGTTTGGTTGGTCGAGCTAACCGGCGAGACGGAAGCTCCAGAATACTGAAGCCCAACAGAGATCTCTTGAGGGGGTATGTTCTGGAATGCGCCGGAAGGTGTTGATACTTGGAAGAGGCGTAGGTCGGCCATGAATGTGCCGGCGTTCGTGTCGAGACTGAAAAGATTGTAGCAGACGGCCGTCCCCGAGGGATTCGTAGCGGCGCCGAGTTGAGAAAGCGCGGTTTGGCAAGCTGCTAGAGTATCGGTATTCCATTGTGTCAAATTCGTATCCGCTGTCGTCAAAGTCTGCCGTCTCCGTAACGAATCGTCATCCGATTCCACATCTTCAAATCTCGTCTCCAGCGTCGTCGCCCTCGGAGCCAACATGCCACCCATTGCGTGGTTCATACCACTAGCGAGTGCCGACGAGGCAAACGCCAACGAAGCCAGAGCTGCACTTTTGCAAACCATTTTGACGATAGGCTTTTCGCTGTATCGTAGATTATATATTCGAATAAGATAGGTCGGTACCTATTTATGTTGTGAACGTGAATTAGCCGGCCGGCGGTCGAAGGATATGCTGTATCTGTAAAGAGCGTATGGAACCTGTCCGTCTCGTAGCTGTGCAACTTCGCCGTGAGCGGGGGACTCGAATAGCGGCGATCAGATTAGAGATCTGACGAGAGAAGAGAAAGAAAAGAGGGACCTGCCCGATGGGAAGGAGAGGCGGCTATGTTTTGTTTTGTTTGGTTCGACCCAAGTAAAGGAGAGAAGAGAGTAAGGAAAGCGACTGGATATCAGCTCGATATCTTAGAATGGATACTATGAGACAAGTGGGGTCTACGAAGACACCCCCAAAACCGATCAATCGCATGACGGTGGGTCGTCTAGCGATCTTGCTCGGGCGGCTTAGACAGATCAAGATGCTAGGCCTTGTGTGGTCCTGGTGCGGTCTTGGTGTGGTCCTGGTATGGTTGACCCCCAATACCACCTATGAGAGATTGGAACCTAGAACACGAGCTGTCGTAGTCCTTGTTCATTATCATGCTCTCACACTACCTATGGTACAGATCTGTACATCCTGCGACAGTGAGTCTCATGGTTATGACACAGACGCTGGAACGTGGAGTTGAGGACTCGTACGCATAGGAGTAGCAGGTGGTACCATCAAAAGAAGATATTCTAGTATTCTAGCAATTCTAGACATAAGAAATGAAAAGCCAAGCAATGGTACGTAGTAGTGGCTAGTGGATATTTGCTGAAGAAGTTGCATTTGCCATACATAGTACATTGTAACGGCGCGAAGACAGCCAATAGGAAGCGAAGAATAGATGCACCGGTACGCCATTCCCGAGATTTTTCGTCATAGAAAATTCGCTTAGGTGCCTATCCTCAGTACCTACTCAGGACCAGGACTCAGGACTGACAGGACTGGCTGCGCCCGGCGAAGGAACCGAGACCATTTCACAATAGCGCGTAGGTTCTCAACTTCTCATGAACCGTTCAGCCAACGACAAGACATAGGATTGGACAAGCTCTGACGCTCAGATAATTCTAACATTTTCGTGTCGGATCGCCTGACGATGCAACGATACAACGATGCGACGATACTGAAAAAGGAGAAGGTTTCGAAAAAACCGGACGCCAGTGAGACAAGAAGCGTGGCACTACCGTTAAGTGAGCCAATCAATTATCGGCTACAGGTCCGTGAAGACCCCTAACATGACCCCCTGGACCCCCTGTCGACTCATCTTAGACCGCATCTTGAGCCTCGAAACCTCGAGTTCCCCCTGTTCATTTTGTTACAGCCAAGCATCAGACTTCGATTTTCATCAGGGTATTGATTCATCGAGCAACCTAATGCAAGACCTTGCCATTTCTATCCTATTAGGTATCAAGCAAAAAGATGAAAAAGACGAAAAAGACGAAAAAAAATAAGAAAAATAATAAGGCGACCAGATTCATCGCAATCTTTAGTTGTGTTATATCATCAAGAGGCATCTTCAAAATAAGTAAATGAGAAACTCCGAGAAACATAGTAAGAGAACCAAAACTTCTACCGTATTTTTCACTAGAATAGGTATTTTGACGCACGATCCTCTAAATTCAGAGCTCCGAAATCGACTATTGAGTATCTTTTGAAAGATGACGGGAGCTACTCAGCCGCGACGCGCTTTTCCTTTAATCCTCCTTCTCGAACAGGTGATGCTCTGCTCGTATCGTACGCCAATTCTAATCCTCCAAGAAAATAGTCATTCGAATTTGGCTTAACTGGATTGAAGGAGTCAGTAATTTCATTCAACTGCTATTATCGGCAGCTCAGTAATGCCACATTAAGAAGGTACAGTAATTGTCGATACCAAAGACCAAGCTTTAGGTGCATGGTAGTCGATTTAACGTCAGTTCCTAGGTAAACTTGCAAGATGAAGCTGTATTTGCGATCCCCGAATAGAGACTTTCCTAGATGCTATTCCCGCGCTGGTGTCGAGTTTACGGGCTTTGCTCGAAAGGCGTGCGCTTACATCGCAGGTTCATTGACAAGAAAACAGCAGTATTGATGACTCATAATAATTGCACCATTTACTCTTAGTCCGACATGTCATAATTAAGGCGTTCGCAAACGCTACTAGACTAGTATAAAGAGATAGGCGTTTGTAGGTAGGTATGCACCTAATCAATAAATCCAGCCAAATCAGCCACGGCGCAAAAATGAAGTCCGCAAACACGGCAAAGACAGCACTGATCGTCATCGATATTCAGGATGGCTTTTTCCATCCGACACATTGGGGGCCTAGCCGCAGCACGCCGGATTTTGAGAAGAATGTTGCCCTTCTACTAAAGGCAGCTCGGGAACACAACAAGAAGCAGGGCGAAGGCACAGGGGAAACATCAAACACCGTAGTTATCTGCCACGTTCACCATCACAGCACCGAACCAAACTCCCCGCTTCGCCCCGGCGCCCAGGTCGAAGTAAACGGCAAACTTGTCGAAGGACTTCAGCCTCAGTCATTCGTGCAACCGCAGCAGGGCGAGCCGCTCTTCATCAAGAACGTCCACTCGTCTTTCGTTGGTACCGGACTAGAAGCCTATCTGAAAGAGCGAGGAGTTAGACAACTCGTTCTTCTTGGCTTGACGACGGATCATTGCGTTAATACAACGACGCGCTTCGCAAACAACCTTGGTGTTGTCTCCGCGACGGACCCGAACGGCGAAATAGACGAAGGCGATATCGTCGTCGCTAGTGACGCATGCGCTACTTTCTCGAGGGGAGAGTTTGATGCGGAGACCGTGCATGCGGTGCATCTTGCGAGCCTAAAGGGGGAGTTTGCACAGGTCGAGGAGACGCAAGATATCTTGCACATCATATTTGGGTGATCTTCTCTTATCTATGGTTGAAATTCCCAGTTCTATTGTTGATTACTGTAGATATCTAGGCTCATATGCTCTCAAGAATTAGCCTAATGGCCTATTCAAACTATCGATCCAGTAATATGCCTTAGAATCCTACCGAGGCGTAATTTATTACCTCGATGCTGTTAAGAAATAACGATATAGTATGCGCTTCGAGATGCACCTCGCAAGATGGGTATAGCGTAAGAAATAAGGAGAGGCGGTAAATAGGTATGTTCATGAAAAGGTAGGTGGTTCAGTTTAGCGAGATACTCGACAGGTACCCTAACCACGAGTTATGAACTTCAGCCAAGAAAGAGCTCGTGGCGAGTAAGTCTTCACCAAATGACCGACATCCGCAAAGACAAGATAACTACCAACAACGACCCAGAAGGAGAAAATGATAGATAATGCCCACGCCAATTTCGCCTTGATAATCTGTGGGAGCAGGAAATGTCGTACGGGCCCGCTTAGAAGTAACCATCCGAAGATAGGAAACCGCGTCGTCGGTAATGCACTCTTCTTCTTGTTTTGGTCAAACTTCTCGATCGTGTCGAGCATCTGCCAGGCCGCCTTGTTGCTTACCCTCTCCCAGGTGGCCTCGCAAGCAAATGTGCGAGCCGCTAAGGCAAACTGTTCACGGGTAATCGTGTCATGGCCGAGCTTCAACACCTTCTGCACAAAGTCATCCAAGTCGTCAGGCCGGACGAGATATCCAGTTTTCCCATGTTCGATGATATCGCTCGGTCCTCCTTCGTCCCTTGCGATAACCGGAACACCGCTCGCCATCGCCTCTAACACCACAAGCCCGAACGTCTCTGTGATGGAGCAATGAAGGAAGATATCTGCCGAGGCATAATGCGTCATCAACTCCTCTCCAATCTTGAAGCCGGGAAAGATCACCTTGTTCTTCTTCTGGAGCGGCGCGAACATGTCTTTGACTTCTTGCTCGACGACCGAGTTACGATTCCCGCCGACGATGACGAGCTTGAATTCCATTCCCCTGTTATCTAACTCCCTTGCCGCATCAGCGAGGAACGCAAACCCTTTTTCGCCCGCCAATCGCGAGCAGGTGAATAGGATGGGTTCCCCATTCGGCGCCCATTCCTTCCTTAGCTGCTCGCTTCTCTTGGCCGGACTGAAACCCTTAGTTTCGACTCCTCGTCTCAGCACCTCCATCTTATCAGATGGTACGTTGACTGATGTTAGGTACGTCTTGACGAATGTGCTAGGGTAAAATATTGTCTTGACCGACGTATCGCGGAAGAGATAACCCTGTACGAAACCGAAGACTTCATTCGCGATTTTACCTAGCGGCCAGGGAAACAAAAGAGAGCAATACCCGGCTAGGTCGGTCTGAAAATTGCAGATGATGGGCACTTGTAACTCCTTTGTATATTGCCGTAGCTGCAGCATCACTTGAAAGCCCAAAGATGCGGGACTAGCTAAGTAGATGAGATCTGGTGGCCCTCCGAACGTACGTCTATACAGCTCGGAAAGTCGTACGGGATAAGCCACGGAAAGCTCTGGGTTGAAGGGTAACGGATACCCAGATAGGCGTACTTCCTCATAGTAAAATGGACAGTCGACAGGAGAGCTGATCGGGTTGAAGGTGTTCACTTTGGTATGGTTGTAGGGCGCGACCACTGCTACGAGAGCTCCATTAGATCGCAAGTGATCCACTAACATCTTAGTAGTGCGCGATACACCGTTGACAGGACCAAGACTCTCCGTGCATAGCAGGATGCGCTTCCCGCCTAAGCCGGACGGGAAGACGTTAAGGTCGTGAGTTCTCTCTGCCATCGCTACCAAATATCTTGGGACTTTGAAGCTTAAATAAAGCACCAAACGGATAATATTCTTTTACCCCAGTTAAGCGGGTATCTAAGGTCTTTGACAAAGCTTGTTGTAACTAATACTTCTAGGCATGTCAGTCTCCAAGGCGGTAGTTCATAGCGACACACATACCTACGTTGGGTATTTATTAGCTGAAAGATGGACCAGAAGTATTGTAGTCAAGAAAATATGTAGAATAGTTGATGTGAGATGTAAAAGGTGTATATGGGGAAAAGTTGTATGTGGTAAAGGTTCCCAAGGTCAACGGCAGCACAATAGAGATGGGAGGGCAACGTGAAATATCCTCATGATACTGATAACAATAGATATTTGTGGCGAGTGCTAAAGTTGGGTAGAGTTTGTCTACAATCAGCCACAGCTGTATATAGCTTCAAGGTTCGTCGTGACTAGATACTAGTCACTGGTGGTTGAATATGGGGTTCACGGGGCTGATGTGATGGTACGGTAACTTTGAGTCATCTTCACCTTTTTCTCTGCTCCGGGTGGCCACAAGACCAACAGTCCTATCATAGTCACGCATCTCAAGCTACGTGTTTTTGGTAGCTTGATAATGGTAAGTAAGATAAGGTGCCTACTGATTTATAACACCTTTTTCTTCTTTTTTTTTTCTTTTTCCTTTTTTACTCAAATAATTTTATCTGATCTTATTTTTTTTTTCAGGAGTATTTCGGACAAGTGAGTTGAAAGCTAAAAACCGAACGAAGTAACTAACCCGCAACTCAACTAAACGGCTGTAACCCAGCAGCCCAGCTCGACCCTAAAAGAAACTCTAATCTGGTCCGTGGATCTTTCTTCTTCTTTTAACCTGCCTAGTAATTACCCTTTTTGGCTTCCCGTCCCTTCTTCGAATGAACTGGTCCAATGATAAGCTCAGGTGGCAGCACACGCGAAGGAATCTACGCACCAATCTGGTCCAATTAGATTCTTCGTCGTCGGCACATTTTCTTGATGGGAACTCTGTAGGAACCTTGAACAACTTCAGATCCACATCGTACATGGACAAGCTGCAAGAGAAATCCGGGGTCCTACAAACCTTACAGCTTAGCAGTAGGTACCTACCTACCTAGTAGGCATCTAGGTCAGTGATTGGGTTTGTCCAAGATATGATCTTTTTTTTGCAAAGTGTCACATGCACGTTATTATCTGAGGTTATCCAGATTGGCGCAGATTGGCGCACGTCTCGTCTCTATCATGTACGAATTAGCATCCCTGATCACCCCCTCGTGTGTCTGGAAGGCTTATCTGTTGGCTATCTATTCGCGAAAAGCACCTTGCACTACCGTCGTTAGAGTAACCTTTTTTCTACTTTTTACCTTTTTTACTTTTTTTTACTTCTCATTTTCTTCGGCTCTTACCTCCAGATGAGAAGAGAGATTGAGATTTCCAGTTCGTCGTACGGCTGATATATCTGACCTTACGTTGGTAAGGAAAAGGAAGACAAGGTACTTTCAAGCACTGTATGTGTACGGTGATAATCCGGTATACACCTACCCAAGTCCTAAGCATTTATGATGTTATAGTTTCGCCGAGCTACGATATTAAGTAAGTGATCAGATATTCTTGAACGGCTTAAGTTGTCTGTCAGCAGCCAGATACTAACTCGCATCACTAAATCTAGTATTATCGAAATCTCCAAAGTCGAGACTGTCGAGTGACTCTCAAGTAACCTCTTATCCCGTCTACTTCAAGTGTAGGCGTTATTCTGCTATGATATCCTCGGTCGTGAAGTTGTGGGAAGTCTCCCACATCGATTCCCATTCCCACTCTCATCCTCCCCATCCTTTCCCCCGTAATGGGTATGAAGGCAAGGTACCTTACATATGTGTAAACGTTCTTGTCTGGGCTGCGACCCAACCCTTGGTGGATCTTGCGTAGACCTGTATAGGTCTTAGCAGGACATGCATGTTTGCTTCCATGCAGCCCAAGTACGACCGTTATCGCAACTGTCGCAATATATATAGATACCTAGTAGCATCTACCTAGTAGTATGATGCGTAAACATCACTTACCTAGGTGGGTATACTATACTCTACTCTACTCTAATCTACTCAACATGGACTAGGTACTAGGTAGTGAGCACAGTACCAGTACGCGTGGCATCCGTACCGTTCGCCAAACACTATTGTACGTTGGATGGGATGCCACTTGACATATCCATTGTCCCCTGAGACCTGAACTTCCCTGGATTTCCTATCTGACTCTCCCCCCCTCCCTTCTACCCCGATCCGACACAAGTTCGGCTCGTGGCACAAATTTAAGCAGAACACTGGCTCCGCGTCTAGATCCGCCACCTGCGCATGCAACGAGGGATCCGGTAGAAGTTCGACGCGATCGCACATCTATTACTACCTAGGCTAGGTCATATATCATGTACCTTGCTGTTCCTTGCTGTTCTCTCGAGAAGGCTAGCTACTAGGAGGTAAGCTCTTAAACGCCGCATGTGTCTTTCATGGTCAAGTGGCGTTCTGACCCTACCCAAGTCTCGATGCTGTCGTACTTGACCTAGTTTATTCTTATCTAGAGGGTCCCCTTCTCTCAAAATCATCTTTCTCGGCAGCTACTACGCCTCCATCTACATTTTCAGCTGCTCACGAAATCTTATTGCTTCCTGAGTAAGCAGTCACGCTCCCCTTATTTCCAGCTACCTCTTTACCTTTTTACTATTATCTTACGACAAGATAATAACGAACTTAGAACTTACCTACCCAGTACCTCCTTAGTCTGACGTGCGACTTACTCGTATGTCTATTTTTAAGGGGAGCTTTAAAGACGCCGTGACTATTGATTTCTTGAGTTCTCATCATCACAGAACGAAAGTTTCAAAGAAGAGAAAAGGCGGTCTTATAGCTTCTATAATCGATTTAAGATTCAAATTCCCCGGACTATCACTTTATAAAGGACATCCTCAAACTATCGCCCCTAATACTCGACAATATTTAAGCGCCATGGGTTCTGTCCAAGTATCAGCCACGGAAGCTGAAGAAGTTGTTGCATATGTTGATGGTGCTTCGACAGCTCCGACCACTCCTGACGAAGGCTCAACTTCTAGTCCTTTACTTGCTGCTGAACTGACAGCCGATCTTGAACGCGCCGGCCTACCTAGAGTATTGAATTCCGCCATGGCAGACTTAACGCGTCCTATCTTGAACATATGTTGTGTGGGTGCCGGTTATGTTGGTTAGTTGTCCTGTCCCCTGCCCTCTTAGCACTGCTGCGCATTGCCATTACTGCCAACGTATTATTATTGTCATTATGCGCCTAGAAACTAAATCGTGATGTAGGCGGTCCTACTGCTGCGGTTATTGCCTTGCAAAACCCACAGCTTCGTGTTACTGTTGTCGACAAGAATGTGCAGCGAATCCGAAGATGGAATTCGGCGCATTTGCCCATCTACGAGCCAGGACTAGGAGAGATCGTCCGCATTACCCGCGATGGATCTAGAAAATGTTATTTTTTCAACCACCCGGAGAGCGAGCAAGTCTTCAACTGCGACCAACTGCATCATAGCAACTGGGCAGTTTTACCAGAGAGGCAACCGAACTTATTCTTTTCAACACAAGTAGCGCGGACTATTGCGGAGGCAGATATCGTCCTCATTGCGGTCAACACGCCGACTAAGACAAGAGGCACTGGAGCGGGAATTGCTACCGATATGACTGCTTTTGAGGCCGTTACTAGCGAGGTCGCCCAACATGCTCGGCCAGGGATTATCATTGTAGAGAAGTCAACCGTTCCATGCAGGACAGCCGATCTTGTTCGAAGAACTGTAAGATAAAGTCTACTATTCACTGGTTTGAATACCTATGAAGGCGTGAACTTGGTTGGCTAATCATCCCAACAGATGGCGGTTCATCGTCCGAACGTCCACTTTGAAATCCTGTCCAACCCTGAATTCTTGGCTGCCGGTACAGCGATGAAAGATCTCATGTTTCCCGATCGTGTACTTATCGGATCTTCGACGACCGCATCCGGCCGCTGGGCCGCCGAAGCCTTGGCAGATGTCTATGCGGCATGGGTTCCGCGAGAACGCATCGTCACCACTAACGTCTATTCATCGGAGTTGTCTAAGCTCGTGGCCAACTCCATGCTGGCGCAGCGAATTAGCAGCATCAACTCGATATCTGCCATCTGCGAGAAGACGGGAGCGAATGTCGACGAGATAGCGGCGTCTATCGGTTACGACCCTCGAATCGGCGATAAGTTTCTCAAGGCAGGCATTGGCTTTGGCGGGAGCTGCTTCAAAAAGGACATCCTTAGTCTAGTCTACTTGGCCGAATCTCTCGGTCTCGAGGAAGTAGGCGAGTACTGGCGACAGGTGGTCAAGATGAACGAATACCAACGCGATCGATTTTCCAGGCGAGTGATCAGCTGTCTAAACAACACATTAGTGGGCAAGAAGATCACCTTGCTCGGATACGCATTTAAGGCCAACACGTCTGATACGAGAGAATCGCCCGCACTCGAGGTCGTCAAGACCCTTCTCGAAGAGGGTCCTAGGGAAATTGCTATATTTGATCCGTGCTGTAACCCCGTGGTTGTCCGAGCTGAAATCAAGGAACTTCTTGACGGCAGAGCTGCACTGAAAGAAGACGGAGGTCCGATCGAGATTTATTCGAGTCCTTACACCGCCTGCGACGGTACCCATGCCATCCTCATAACGACTGAGTTCGATGAATTCCGGACAACACCATCCACGAAGCTGTGTAAGATGTCCTCTGTGAAAGCGAAGCCTACTGTCAAAATAGAAAAGAAGAGAGATATCGATCCTCGACCTATTATAGATCTCACAAAAGGGCCAACAGAGACGGAGATTCTAGCTATCCACAAATATCTCCTGAGTACTACCGCCCCGGTACCTGATAACGACCCTTTGCAGCGCTATAAACCGGAACCCAATTGTGAGAGCGATTGTCCTGACTGCGGACTCATAAAGACCAGCGGGTACTCGACAGCAGGAAACTCGGGCGAAGATCGGCCCAAGGAAAGGCTTGATTGGAGCAAGATCGCCTTCAATATGAACAAGCCCAAGTGGCTGTTCGACGGCAAGGGAATCGTGGATGCCGACCAATTATCGACCTTATACGGCATTAAAGTAGAGAGCATTGGGCGTTAGTTAGATGGCGGGCGATACGGATACCATGTGCATTTATACTGATCTCGTTTTGGAGGGGTTCATTTCTGCATTGCATATGTACCTACCTGAGGTACCACCGGGGGCGGCAGGTCGTCTCAACTGGATTTCCTAGGTAAATATAACTTATATGGACTGGATATGACTCTGTAGACTCTTACTACCTATGTTATCCTCCTTATTTCAGATTCAGCACCCCCTTTTCCTTTGGGTGGAATAACAAGATTCTCATACTCCGGTGTTGAAATAGCGAACCATTCTCATAAAGAGAGGTCTAATAGGAAAACGAATTTATTAAAACAGTTGTACTAAACGATTTTGGGTCTTTGAAATGTTGCTGATGTATCGAGTTAGGTAAAGGATTTGAAGTTGACGTAATGCATACCTAGCATAGGTACACTGAGACATGCGACTAACTTAGTCCCTTGAGCTAGGGGTTATTATTAGATCTTCCATTAGGTACTAGGTAGGTAGGTATCCTTTCTTTGTCCTCCCTGTTCTCGCGTAATACTCACCCGATGAGTCGGAGAAGCGGGAAGCGGAAGAGAGCGCGCGTCGATCGTGGCGGGCATAAATCAACAGCCGATGAAAGCTCCCGAATAGTTAGCCAGAGAACACCGAAAACGAACCTCGGTGAAATCCTATTTCGTCACGATAATAAAATAAACCCAATTTATTCATTCGCTTTATTAATTTCCTCGTGGTTAGGTACTAGGTAGGTAGCTCCGTTAACGGACACAGAAAAAAGGAATAAGAAGATATACGCAACACGAATTGCACGAACGGGCGCAAATGATCCCATTCGATTTTGATCCTTGAACATCCTCTCTTACCTAGCTACCCCTCTGCCCCTCCCTCCCTCCAAGATGGCGCGTCCGCGGAGTGCGCTTCTACGGACAACGGTCCAGCTTTCACACCGATGGGCTGTGCCCTGCGTGCGACGGCAATATAGTGCTGCCAGCGCCACGATCGCCTCGACCTCTAGATTTAAGCCATGCCTTGTGCGATCATACCGGTATTACTCCACTGAAGCACCCGCGAAAGCGCCACGGGGCGGTTCTAAAGTCTTCAAGTCCGCGGACGAAGCTGTCGCAGACTTGAAAGATGGCGCTGTTGTCCTCAGCGCTGGTTTCGGGTTATGCGGTGTTGCTGGTACGTAACAAACGAAATAGCCGCTGTACGAAGCAATACGGTTCTCAATCCAGCATTTCTTGAGTGAAGAAGATCCGGTTCATATTGCTAATACCTAATACGTATAAATTGCTAACGGCGAAATCGCGCAGAAACTCTCATTCAAGCGATCCATAAGAAAGGCCTTAAGGACCTGACAGCCGTTTCCAACAATGCCGGCTCCGGCGACCACGGCTTAGCTCTTCTCACACAAGATGGACGATTGAATCGCATCATTCTCTCATACTTAGGATCGAACAAAGAACTCGAGAAACAATACCTTACGGGAAAGATAGCTGTCGAGCTATGTCCGCAAGGTACGCTAGCAGAGAAATTGAGGGCGGCTGGTGCTGGAATTCCGGCGTTCTATACGGCAACGGGTGGGAAGACTTTCATCGAAACAGGCGAGATACCCGTGAGGTTTACCCCTGAAGCTGTTCTTGAGAAGGGCAAGCCGAAAGAGACGAGGGTTTTCAATGGCAAGTCTTATATTATGGAGACGGCGCTTCCCGGCGATGTAGCTATTTTGAGAGCGTGGAAGGTTGACGAAGCTGGAAATTGCGTATTCAAGTAAGTCTATCTCAATTGTCACTTTTAGTCTTTTCACACAGTACATGATACTAACGTGCGCTCGCTATTAGACACACAACGAAGACATACGCAGGTCTCATGGCCAAGGCAGCCCGCATAGCCATAGTCGAGGCAGAAAATATTGTGCCCATTGGGTCTATCGATCCGGACGTAGTCGACTTACCCGGCATCTTCATCGATCGCATTGTTCCGGCAACGGCACCCAAGAACTTTGAAGTTTTGAAAGTAGCGCCACCCAAATCAGACGAGTCCGCTTCTGGCAAACCTACCACGCTTGACTCACGGAATCGCATCGCCCGCCGTGCGGCGAAGGAGCTACTAGATGGATACTACGTCAACCTCGGAGTCGGCATCCCAACATTAGCTGCTTCGTATCTGCCCGAGGACACCAAAGTTTGGCTGCAATCTGAGAACGGAATCTTAGGCATGGGCCCATACCCGGCGACGAAAGAAGACGCAGATCCGGACCTAATCAATGCGGGCAAAGAGACGACGACACTTTTACCGGGAGCATCGACATTTGATTCGGCCGAGTCTTTCGGTATGATTCGGGGCGGCCATGTTGATGTGTCGATTCTGGGCGCTTTCCAGGTATCGGCCTCAGGAGACCTCGCCAACTATATGATTCCCGGACGCGTATTCAAGGGGATGGGCGGCGCTATGGATCTTGTGTCGAACCCCGATCACACCAAGATTGTGGTGGCTACGGAGCATGTCGACAAGAAAGGACGGAGTAAGATCGTCCAGGACTGTCAACTGCCCCTTACAGGTAAGGGTGTCGTTAGCACCATTATCACAGATCTAGCCGTCTTCCAGGTTGACCGTATCAATGGCGGTTTGACTCTCACTGAGATTGCCGAGGGTGTTGATTTGAAAACTGTGAAGGCCAAGACTGATGCTGAGTTTGAGGTCATAGATAATCTAAAGACATTTTAGACATGAAGAGATGAGAAGAGAAGAGGTGGGATGAGATGAGAAGGAATAGGCCAGGGGATATCTATTGTATATACACAGTGTAGAGGTAGGACTGGCGATTAGGAGCATTTTGATGTATAAACAAGCGTCTTCGTTGACAGGTACCTAATATGACTGTACCTAGCTTAATTCGTTACTATTTCTCGCCTATTAAGATGAGATAAAGATACCTAGTGGACACTTGCCTAGGAAAGTAAACAATACATCATCTCGTGATCGAGACTTTTGTGTACATGATATATGTAGATACATTTCATCCATCATCCATTCTCCAGAACTCGTACCAGCGCTTCATTCTTCTCATCTCGTCTCACCTCCTTCTCATAACTTCGGCCGTATTCCAGGCGCAAACGTAGTACCCTCACCACTAGTAATCACAGTCACCAACTTATCAATATTCTCCAACAACCAAACATTCCCATCCTCAGTAGCCAACCACGGGCCACCCTCCACGGGCTCCTCGCCCTCGGCATGCGCACCCCCATTCTCGTACGCCTTGCGCAGCCCGAAGACGTGCGACACAACCTGCGGCCCGCAACCCGTTTGCGCGCGCAAACACGCAACGGCCACCAGCGAAGTGAGCACGCGACCGACCTTCGCCGGCGCATTTGCGCCCCGTGGGTTCGACAACAAGTTCGAATAATGCCCGTTAAGAATGTGCACGGGCAAGTCCGGATGCGACTGGGCTAGCCTATCGAGAAGCTTGCGCTCGAAGCCGAGGTACACGGAGTCCCAGAGGGCGAGGCCGTCCTTCTTGCGGATTTCGAGGTTATCCGTTGTTAGCTCGCGCGTTGGCGTCGTGCTCAACGCGGATGCGACATCTTTTGGTAGGCTGGCGTAGAAGGCGCCAAGCGTGTTGATGCTCCGCGGGATGCCGTTGAAGGATATGCACTTGAGCCCGACTTCGCGGATTAGCTCGGCGTTTTGGGCCGGCGTGCGCGGTGAGTCTGGTGTGGGCGTTGAGTTGGCGAGGTTAAAGATTTGTGTCATGGCCTCAGGGCAGTTCAGTGTTGCCGAGACGGCGGTCTGGTGTTTTGTTTAGTCGTTTGCTTCTTTGAGGAAGAAAAACAAGTAAATTTCACCTACCGACAACGTTACCCAGGCGGGTAATCCAACTTTCCTCTCTGCTGCATCACTCGCGAATTTCGTCAACGCCGTTTGCACACCTGCTGACGAGGGAGTGTACCACGGACTCGCGTGGCTGGCATTGATGAGCGCCTTGACGGTATTTGAAAGCTTTGACATCTTTGCTCTCTCTGATCGTTCGTCGACTTTGCTTGCCGCAATTGTCTTTCAAACAAAATCCGACGTCATCAGCTTATGAATTAAATATTCTACTTGTCTCCTAGGCGACCTTAGGTGGATAATTCATGTACCTAAGGTGTTCGTTATGAATGTTCGTTACAAGGGAGCTGTCACCTTGTTGATTCCGAAAGTATGCCGCGGTAAAGATCCCTGAAGAAAGAATTCGGTGGTTCAAGAACCCCCGAGATCTCATTCATATCACCTAAAATATCCTAGCTTTGGCGGCTTGTTTTACTTACAGCCCACTATATCGAGGCGCTAATTCAGGAACAAATGGCCCTAGAAATAACCAGTTAATAGCTGCTGGGGTTCCATCCATTAGTCCTAGTCTTCGATCCTCGGGTAATATTTATGATGCCGGTAACACATGTGCATGCTCACGAGAGTATCATGTGTTTTTAGATAGAACTTATAAGCTTCAAAAAATGAACTTAAGTAGCAGGATGAAGACGGATTTGAGTATAATATGGGTACTCCTAAATGTTAGCCAAGAAGGCCAAGAGGGCCAAGCTACCGCTGAAGAACCGACAAAAACATCACAACTATAAAGATATTATATTTCCCAGTTGTTACGTAAAGTGTTCAAAACTCCAGGAAACCCCTGAATACCAATTCTATAATACCCATAATCCTATCGTTGGCCTATCGTTAGCCTATACTCAAAAGTATCTCATATAATTCCCATGGATATCTCAGTATATCGTGAAGTTTCATGAAACCATGCGGGTATCTGGTGAAATACCTCAGTGAGGGACTTAAAACGAGACCAACCTTCCCTTTAGACTCATGCCAAGGTAAGTTGGTCCAATTTTTCCTTGCATAAGATGATTCCGTCGTGGCTATATCGTTACCGACTCCCCATAAAACACATGTTTGCTAACCTTCCCCTCATTCTCACTCAGCCCATCGATAATTTATAGAACCAGCTTGAATGCCGGATCACGGTCGTCACCGAACCCGCGGTACTTGTCGTACTTGCCATTCGCCTTATCTCGGTTGATCTTCCAGCAGTATAACACATTACAAGCGACTCTGGAGATTTGTTAGACAACTAGGAGTCTCACGACGTTCGACGGGGTTAAATAACTCACAAGAACCATCCACCACACAGCAATCCCATAATAATGGTGTGGCCTTCATAGTATGCCGGTCCTTGGGACTTCGGGTAAATGAAGACGGCGACGAATCCACCACAGTTCGCAATGGCAAGCTGCAGCGCGCTCGTCGTAGCGCGCTTGTAGTGACCGGCAGAGTTCTACGCGGTTTATTGTTAGCACGTGGATGGCATTATGCACGGACATGGATTGAGGCGTTGATTGAGGCGTTGATATCCTCGAGGGGGTGCTAAGGAAACGACTTACGTTCGAGAGCCAACCCAGAACTGGTGGCACGCTACTGTAAAGACCGGTAGCCATGAGGAAAGTCATGCCGTATTTGACTTTATCGTTCTTCGTGTTAGCAATCACACCGTATCCAATAATCGCCAACGGTAGCGAGCAGAGCATAACGGGACCTCTGACACGGAATCGATCGGAGATAAACGCGGTAATGACTAGTCATGGTAAGTCTCATATCAATAGCAGAAAACCACCAGGTGATATGATATACATACCTGTGATTACTGAAGCCACCGCGTAGGGGATAACGGACCACAGCTGAGCTTCGTCTGCAGTGTATCCTAATCCTGAAATGATTGTCGGAAGCTAATGGTTTATTATTAGAACAACATACCAGAGAAGAGTGGCTAAGTGATATATCACTTACGAAGAGACCGAAACTGTAAAGACCACTAAGAATACCGAAGTATGCACAGGCTGTGAACCAAGTCTGCAGACTGAAGACACCACGAATCACCTCAGACCAGGCGAACCTCTCAGAAGCCTCCCTGAAATTTCGTCAATACAATGTCATATCAAATGCAATGGGGAGTGGTCAAAATATACTTTTCACGATGGTTGCCGTCGCCGGTACCACTGGAGGCATGAAGCCGATTAACAGCGAATTCACGCTCTTCGGGAGTCAGGAATTTAGCCGAAGCGACACCGTTAGGAAGCAGGAAGTAAGCAGCAATTCCGACGAGGGCCGTCTTTGAAATTGTCAGCATTTATTCGCTGGTCGCGTATCGCAGAATGGACAGCAACTCACGAAGAGACCCTCAATGACGAAGATCCATCTCCACTTATTCAGGCCACCCCGAGTGCCTATCTCAGCTATCCCACGAGCTAATAGGCCTACGATGCGTCAGATTTGATCTTGAACGACGAGATCTTCTCATTAGGCAATTTTAAAGGAAGGACATACCTCCAAATGCGCCTGACAAGGACGCGGCTGTGTAAAAGACGCCGATGCGCAGGGCGAGTTCACCTCTCGTGTAGATGGTCGACAAATATAGGACCTATGTCACCTGTAAGCTACAATATATTCATACCTAACTAATAATATTGAAAGCAGGTCACTTACAATTCCAGGTAGTAGACCACCTTCGGTAAGTCTGCATCGTGCGAATCAGCAATTGGTCTTCGCAAACGAGAAGCTGCCCCTGCTATGCAAGGAGTGAAGCCGATTGGGAAGCGGAAATGAACAAAGCAAAGGTGGTGAAACAGTCTCGGATGCAGGAGGAATGAACTGACCCAAGAAGCGCACGAACGCCAGCGAAGCCCGCAAAGTTCTGTACGAATCCAAGACACATAGCCGACACGCCCCAGAAGAAGGTCAGGCATGGTAGCCAGATCTGAGGCGTGAGCTTCTTGAGGATCAGGTTACTCGGGATCTCGCTGAGGATGTACGTCGCGTAGAAGACAGCGAGACCTTGATCGTACTGGTGGTCCGTGATGCCGATGTCCCCCTCGAGATTGTACAGCCGCGCATTTCCCACGTTGGTCCTATCCAGGAACGAGCAGAGGAACAGTACTGCAAGAACCGGAAGGATTCTATTTTCTCATGATTAGAATCCATCACGTGTTGTCGAGTTTTATTTTATTTTGTAAGTATCTTTCTTCCTTCTTGAAATCTTTTTTTCTCGTTTTCCAAAGAGAGAAATAAAAGCGAAAGGAATGGTTGGACGGAACCTCGTGTCTAACTTCCACAGGACCCTACGCGTCAGGTTCTTCTCGGTAGAGCTAACCTGGATCACGCTCCCCTTCTCGAGCTCCTCCACCGTCGCCTTGTTCGACGACATTTCGCCGGATTCTGAAGACGGCATCGTTCTAAGCTGTTCCTCTTTTCTTCTTTCCGTGTCGCAAACCGAAGAGGAAAAAAGAAGAATGACGGAAAGAGGAAAGTTAGGTGGATTGTTCTGTTATTCGGGACACCGTACAACCGACCTTTAAAGCTTCGCAAAAACCCAGTCGCACCAACAGCCAGGGTAATACAACTAACAGGTCAGCACGTCGAGGAACCGTGGACATTGAACTCCAGTCATGTTGCGGGGGAATTAGATTACTACATTATTGGTTACCTTTTGCGATAGTTGGGGGGGAGCCAGGGGGAGAACGGCAGGCCGTTGAATCCATCGAAATTGGCGTGTGGGGTAAGTAAAGCCCTTTGTCTTGGGCTGTTCTTGGGCTGTTCTTGGTATCGCGGACAGTAAGCTGTTGGTCTGTTGGTGATCTTCGCAGCTAATCAAGATACAAGCATTAGCAACGCGGAGTCGCTGCGGGGGACAAGTACCAACTTCCTCTGCCAATTTGCGGAGTTTGATATATCCCCGACGGCTGACGGCTCTTTGACCTAATCTGAGGAACAGGGGGGACCAGGGAACCGAATTCATTACTAGACAAGACAGACAAGAGAGAGAGGCTGACTGGTCAAGCGTGTGATTTGTCACTTTCGTCAGTGCCACCACATGATAAGCTCCGCGTGGTGTGTGTGATCGAGAACGCAAGGGAGCAGTAAGAATGTTGCCGCGTAATGCTCCTAACCAATGACTACGCTCGATAGAATATCTCACAATTCCAGGGTCCTTATTGTACATACAGCGTATATTGGCTTGGCCTCAACGAATGTGCCCCTGTCAGTTGCGATAGGGAAAACTCGTTACATCGGGCGCCACAGTGCTGCGCTACGGACGATATCCTACATCTAGGCTGCATTGTGGAAGTCTTCGAGCTCTGTTCTAGAAGCTCACCTGGAGTGGGATGTCACTTTTGGGGGGTGGTTTTTTTGGTGTTTTTTTTTTTTTTTTTTTTAGTAAACCTCAGCTCTCGGATTTTATGGTTGAAATGTCTTGAATCTTCGTCGACGCATCCAAAACGTGTCTGCAACATTTTGTAGCATCACCTGCGAGAAGGGTCCTGTCAGAGTGTAACCATTTAAATTTCTGGTCTCTTCTCAGGAGACATTGAAAATCTTAAGCCTGGTATAGAGACCGGCATATAGTAAACAATGCATTGAACCGGGATTATCCAAAAATCTTTCCATCCCGTTTCCTGTTTCCTATTTCCAACACCATGCGATGCTCTTCCCTGTGACCCCTCGTGAACGCCCAAGTGCCGTGTACTCATGTCGTAGATATAGAATTTATACATTCACGTCCCGAACGTTGACCAGTCCATCCAGTCCAAGTCAGCACTTTGAAACTGAAAATCTTCCCAGAATGCGTTAAGCCCAATGTCGGTACTGTGGATAGCTTCATCTAACTGGTTTTCGTTAGACATCGTAGAGAACAGCAAGTAGTCCGGCGGTAGAGTTGTCGCCGGGACTTGCATTTGCATTGCTCCGGGGTGATTGGCCATGTGGGCTGCGGCCAAGTCAGCATAAATAGGAGCGTTCTTAGCCACCTCTCCATTTGACTCCGGAAGAGTCTGAGTATTTTCCGAGGCCCGCGATGCATATTTTAGTATCTGCCTCAGTTGACCGGCGAATAGACAAGAAAGACCTTTCCTTTGAATTGGGGTCGATCCTATCCTTTCTAGTACATCCGTAGTCTCTGCTATTAAAGCCCTAATACTAGGGGCTAGGCTGGAGCCCCTACCATCAGCAACAGTACTAACCCTAAGCGCGAAACACGCGGCAAAGGATATCATGATGGCTGTGTTGTTAGGCATGGATCTTAACTGCCCCTCGCCTTGAACGGCTACCCTCAAGACATTCAGCGCAGATGAGAGGCCAGCAGCGCGAAAGAAATGCCGTGCCCCTGTGGGAGCAGTGCTATGGTTGATCACCGAACTGTATAGAGATAGCCGAGTATGGGAGGCAAGGATCTCGACATATGGAGGTAATGAGAGTTCTACATTGGTTAGCCATACTAGTCGCCCTTCATTTTTTACCTATAGAAAACTCACTTTCACGGTCTCCTAATTGTACGGGCCAAGTCTGGTACCATCTATCGAAGAAAAGAGTGATTTCGCTTTTGACTCTATGGTCGCTTTATGTGAGCACACCTCTTAGCTGTGAGCACCGGAAAACATACCTATCAACGACAGATGATTCGCTATTGCCATTAACATAGCTGTCGCATATTGCCCTTACTTTTGTAATTATGTTCGTCTATGATGAATATCAAGTAAGCCTATTAGTCTTTCGTCTTTAGGTAAACGAGGGTGAATACCAGATCTCGCCTTAAAACGGCGACAGACACAATTGAGCCATCCCATCTATCTGCTAGCTCGCTTAGATGCCACTGGTCGCAACTCTCAATGAGCGGCGACATTGGTAAAACGTAATTCCTTCCTCTCGCGAGGCATACACTATAAACAGGATTAGTCGACTATTTGTAAGCGAAACTTTGTGATCTTATTACCCTCTTTCGAGAACGAAAAGAGATAGCCAGGCGCGTTCTCTTCTTCTCAAGAGCCTTTGGCCGCTCGGGGAATCTGGATCAAAATCGCTAAACCCATCTATATTGAGCGCCTTTCGGCCAGAGATGCAATCAGACGTAGCAATGGTATCTCTCGGGCTCCGTGGTTCCGTAGATGAAGGCAAAATGATCTTATTAAGAGATAAGTCCAAGGCTATTGTTAAGGCCATGGAAAGGTAGGTCGAAGTCTCGTCATCTGCCCAATGCTCACCAGCTGATATCCATGGTATATTAACCATGAAAGCCAGGACGATCTCTACGGATTTATAGCGCTTTGACATAACAAGGCCAGCGAGTTTTTGTCGATGGTTTGAGAGTCTCTTATATAATGATTCCATAGAGGGTGAGAATAGTGCGGACGCGGCAGCTATTGAGGTCAATAGGAATGCTGAGCGATTTCGAACAAATTGTACCGTGTGCACCACAGGATCAATTCCCCAGCGCGTATGTGAGAGTTTTTCGTAGAAACTGGAGTGGTGTCGGTTAGTATCAAAATTATACGAAGGCGAAGCAACAAAAACATACTAGGTAAATAGTGCTTCGGTCTCCGCAAGTGTGATGAGACCTAATTCAATGGGGTCCAAATCCTCGCCGACATCTAGTCGTGCTTGAAAACGGCCAAAGAACTTTTGTAAGTCATCGCCTTCTCCAGCAGTACCCCGATTGGGGGCAGATTTGGGAAATCGTCCCGTTCCGTTTCCTTGCACCTGTGGCGTTATGGATGATAGTAATTCGGAGGTTCGGGCGAGCAATTGCAGCGGGTTCTCGGCATCATCCAGGCTAAGTTGGTCTTCTTCAATCTTGGTATGTACTGCTGGATCATCACGCGAACAGGTTTGTGAAGGCGAAGTCCCTATCGAGGGAGAGGTTTGCTGAGGAGACAAGGACGCTTGGTCATGTTCCATGCCATTTTGCGATATGCGCCGTGGTAGACCATCTTGGCCACTTAAAAGCTCCCTACTCCTTTCGAGTAGAAATCTCAATTCGGTGGCTTGCTCTGCCGTCTGTACCTGATCGATGGCGCCTGCGTGCGACCTTCTTAAGGCCTGTTCTATCTGAAAAACGGCCTTCTCTAAACCCGAATGTTTGCTATTACAAAAACAATTAGTCAATTGGATTTCGCTCTGATTTCAAAAGGACGACTGGAATATGAAACATTGAATGGATAGGTAGGTATTGGATATTAAATAATAAATAATGAATAATTATTAGATATCAAACGTCAGATCTTACTTCTTTACTCCCTTATGTCGTCCCACATGAAAAAGCGGTGCAGAACACTGAATTGAGCGCTGAGTGCATCTAGTACAGGTGGCAGACCCGCTAGGACGAACACACTTCAGCTTTGATTTCTTACAGTTGAAGCAGGCAGCAAGGCGCTCCTCGTCTCTTGAATCAGTGTCTGACTTCGGCGCCATTCGATCCGATATGGAAAAGCGGCGGATGAGAGGAGGCCATACGATTTAATGAGATGCGAACATATGACGAAAGGGTAGACGAGGTCGCGGCCAACGTCTGATACCAAGATTACCAACTAATTAGTTATTCTTGCGAAGTTCCCGTGAGTCTTGGAGCTTTGGGAGAGCTTTTGGAGAGATTCGAAGGTTCCAAGGTTGTTGGGTCGGTAGAAGCGTCCCGGCCCCGCACTTTTTCCCCTTCTCTTCTTCTTTTGTTCAAGGCTTGTCAGGGGCAGGGGTACCAACGTAGGTTTAGAATGGGGTAAATGTACGTAAATGTACGTAAATTCGAGGCAATTGGCAACTGCGAGTGAATTATTCGAAGATGTACCGCAATAATGTACCCAGGTCCCAGCAGCCCAGTAAATGTTATTCAATGGAGACCTCGGAACGATTGGAGAAGTTGTCACGTGATGACCGTAGTTATATTTCTCAATGAAACATCTTTACCGTCTCCTTCATATCCCGCGATCGGGGATCGTTGGAATAAAAAACCACGCTCTATGGGAACAAACCGGAACATCATCACTACCATCACTACCACCAACCATCCCTATTCGATCAGGTAGTAAGTGTGATACGGGGAACCGGGATTCACTTACATCACACTGTCCCATCCAGACCATTTCTAGAATTACTAAGTTCTGCAATATCCGTCCAACCTTTCTAGGCAATGCTACTGTTTTACCAACTCGCGCAGATCCATTGGCCTCGTCTTCGATATACTTATCCGTAATTGAGCATCGCTTGGTTGCTTACTTCACATTCCTCATTCGGCCTTAACGTTTCGTAGTTAGAAAGAAGAAAACACCAATCCACCTATCGACGGCGCTTAGGATTATCATATACGTGTATACCTACATTACTTATCGAACCAATTTGTCTTTTGTCAAGTAGGTAGGCAACTAAGAACAACGAGGCTCACATACATATACACAAACTCGTGGTCGGTTTAGCTATCCGGATATGAGAACGATTCTCAATGCTGCCGATTACAGTCCTGTGATCATATTATGTAACTCCCTGCAAGACGACTATAAGTTCGGAGCTGAACCGGCCACGCGCAAACGACAAAACTAGCGATTGGATATTCTAGAATGCATGATCCCGACCATCGAGGACTGGTATCGATCACCATCGCTTTCCATTTTCTGTGTCACGCAATACAAGTTTCAGATTAGTCGCGTGAAGTCGGTGTTTAAGGCTGTAGTAAGACGACTAACTCTTACACACACTAGGCACCTAGTAAGAGGCGAGTTAGCGGCTACCGATGCAATTCTGCATATACCTTCTTCCGCTCGCATTACTAGACAAGCGCCACGCATCCTATGAATTACCATTGACCTGCGTTAGCAACTGCATTGATGAAGCTTACTTGTTACCAGCTACCTATCGCGGTAACCAAGTCCGTGGCTGCCATCCTATGTTTTATCTTAGGGCCGAAACATTTTGAAATCGTTGAGGTTTGGGGCTGAAGCCTGAAGGCAAATGTCTCGTCATGATTCCCTCGTTGCCTACCATTACTCTTCCTTGATAGCCGGCTACGTAGCAAGATCTGGACGATCGACACATCCGAGATGGAGCCTCAAAACTACCGGCTCTGCTACTAATTTTCCCTTTCAATTTTCAGTAACGAATGGAGAAATTATTTAGAGTATCGCCGGACGTAGGTCAAAATGACACATTCTGTCTACCAAATTTACCTATCATTACAACACCATCGCAATCTTTGGTCGACTACAACCGCTCCCACAAGGGAATATTGGAATACCTACAAACGAGTTTTATTAGGCACATTTTGCCTTGTCGTGTCAATACTTCGCACATAGGCAAATTGTCTATAGTCAATTATCTTATTATCTAGCGGCCATAGGAATTGTCGATATACCTACCTACCGTAATTATATGTACCTGGTAGCTGAAGATTCCCTCTCCTTTGCGTACCAATGAATATTGGGACGTATGACACTGCCACAATATACTAAGGTTATACTAAGGTGAATCAGAGGCGTCTGTGTTAGTCGGTTAGAATATGCTCCCACAGCTGCTTTGTTCTATAAACAAGCCGTCGGGCAAGAAATTGACCCATGCCGCTAATCAATTCACCATGTTCCCCCGAAATATAGGCGGGTTCCTCGGAATTTATGCACTGCCAGTGCTGGCTTATCCTAAGTCCGTTTACAACCGGTGCTAACACCGCTAGGGAGGCTACAGGCTACAGGCTACAGGCTAGCGTCAGCTCCTGATTTTGTAGGGCTGAAAATCTGAACACTGAGCTGACTCAAGTAATTCCGATCATAATTATCTAAGCATTGTTCTTAAAGCTGTGTGATAACTATACGTAGACTTTCATCATATAAGACAACCTTCGATTAACCATAGATGACATTTCGTAGCATCTCAGAGTGATCAGATTTGCTACCTCTTAAACTCAGAAAACATATCAATACGAGACATAGAACTATATTTCCGCCTTAAGCCATTCCCGACATCACCCCTTTTCTATCAGTTACAAGAACAAAACTGCTTCAGCAGAATGCATCTCATACTTACTGGAGCGACTGGGCTCGTGGGCTCGGGTGTCCTTGATGCTATGATCAAGATGAAAGACATCAGCAAAATCTCTATCATCAGTCGACGACCAGTTCAGATGGCGGAAGACGCCAAGGATCCTCGAATCAACGTCATAATACACAAAGACTTTGAGAGCTACGATTCCGACCTGCTCTCTAAGCTCAAAGGGGCTACGGGGTGCGTGTGGGCCCTAGGCATTAGCCAGACTCAAGTTGGCAAGGAGTAAGTACCTAGAAGTGCAGTCCCAGGGCAAGGGGCTCGGATCACTAATACATCTCGGCCAGAGAATACGTAAAGATCACCAAGGACTATGCATTGGCTGCATCGACGGCTTTCCAGACATTAGCATCGGAACAGGAGCCCTTCAACTTCGTATATATCTCGGGAGGAGGCACCACCACGCAACCGGGAATGTTCACAGCCCTGTTCGCAAGGGTAAAGGGAGAAACAGAGCTAGCACTAGCCGAGATGCGCAAAGTGAACCCATTATTTCACGGAAGCTCTATCCGCGCGGCGTTTATCGATGCAGCAAAACACGACGCCATTAAGTCGTATATCCCGACTCAAACTTTTGCGATTAAGGCTACTGGCGCTACCTTAGGGCCTCTAATCAGATGCGGAATGCCGCAATATTGGAGTCCCACGGCAGACCTGGGACGATTTGTAACCGAGATGGCGATGGGAAAATATAAGGATCAGCTAAAAGCGAGTAATGGTATCCAAATGGAGGGTGAGTTCCCTATACTGGAGAATTCGGCGTTCAGGCGACTAGCTGGTCTTGATCGCAAATGAAGGGAGAGGATGTAGGAGTTTTCACGTCGATTTTTGGGGGGCGTCTATTAATTTATTTACCAAGGTACCTACTAGGTAGGTAAATAGGTACGTACATGTATAGAATATTCACCACCTACATGTACCTGTCTTAGTTCGAAGGGGCGGTATCCTGCCTGTATTTTAGTATCTTTATCCCCTATCTTATTAGTACTCAAAACGCCATCTCGGGTCCGAATCTCCCCTCCAATCCGCAACTTCTCCAACGTGCTTTATTTCTTCTGCTATGGTCTCCCGCCTTTTATTTTCTCTTTTCAACTTTATTCCCAAGATTGTGACAACCACTGCGTTGGCCAGGAGATACGCGAGCGCCAAAGAATGGCCTACAATAAATCTCGGGCCATCAGTAGCACGGTATAATTGAGTCCCTAATACAGCACCTAGGTTTCCGATGCTTATTTGCATAGCGTTACCTATGGCTCTCTTGGTCTGGCCGGACACGTTGATAGCGGGCCACGACAATACCAAAGCAGTAGCCGGAAAGATGCCCCCTGCTGCGAAGAACACGCCGACATAACTGACCCCTGGTCTGCCGATCGGATCGGCGTTACTGAGGAGGATCGCATAACCGATAGCTGCGAAAATAGCGGATCCGCCGATAAAGATCGCTCTTTGGCCGAGTCGCTCGGAAAGAATAGCTATCGTAGCGGTTGTTAGGAATGCGAAGGCGTAAGGTGGCACCGTAAGTAATTGTGCTGTTGCTGCCGTGTAACCTAGATTGGATATAATCGTCGGCTAGGTAAGATAATTAGTTACTATCAAAGGATATGTTGATTTTTCTTGGACATCACATACGAGAAATAAAGACAGCGTATAGAGAGGCAAGCTCATGGTATGAAAGCCTAGACCGTAAAGCCAACAATTTGAATCTTTCAATGCCTCTGCGACGGCTCCCCACGTAAACCGTTCGTCGTGAGTTGCATCACTATCAGCTGCTAAGCGCTGATGAATGAACTTTCGCTCATCTTCGCTTAAGAACTTCGAAGTGTCCGGGTAGTTGTGGATAAATCCATACGCTGCAGCGGCTACGAGAACTGTAAGAATACCCTCCTATTTGAATGAATTAGAAGCTCTTCTAGTAATTAATGACCATGTAGGTTAGGGTAACATACCAATATAAAGATCCAGCGCCATCCATTCGACCACACGATGCCTCCCATTCTACCAATGCCCTGCCTTTGAGTTAGTAATCAATACCGTTCGAATCGAATTCTCCATATACTAACATAAGCTAAGATACCGCCAAACGCACCAGCTAGAGATGCAGCGCTGAAGAAGAGGGATATACGATATTGCCGTTCCCGCCTCTTATACCACATGGAGAAGTAAAACACCACTCCCGGGAAGAGACCACTTTCAGCCTGCTTAGAGTTAATATGGTATATGGGGCTTTGAATCCATAGCCTATTGAGTTTCTCTATTCGTAGAGTAGACCAAATTCGGTTCCATGGCCACATAATGAAAGGATTTATCACATACTGTGGACTTGTCAGTTTCTTCGGAAACGAATAGAGTGACACAACCAAACAATGTGCCAAGGAATGCTTCTATACTCACCAACTCCAAGGAAGAACCTGCTCACGAGAAAGCCTGGCAAATTCTGGACAATTCCGGTCAAAGTTGCAACAACACCCCAAACTATGGTCAATGTCGGCAACCAAATACGCGGTGTCGTACGTTTGAGTATTATGTTGCACGGAATCTACCATCTAGTTAGTACGGGATATTAAGAGACTGCTTTCGAACGTTATATCCTACCTCAAATAGGACATATCCCACGAAGTAAAGTGTTAACCCCGTGAGATACTGGTTCCCGGCTATACGAACAAGTCAGGTAGAGGTCAGCTAATCACGTTTTAGGCTTACTTACTCATATGTACATCGTTAAGGAGACCTTCGATACGAGCATTGCCGACTAGGTAGAAAGAATGTTAACGAACATACCCGATCTTGGACAACTAGCCAAAGGGGTTTGGATTATACCATTGCTTCGATCAAGAAAAGATAAAAGATACAAGACTCCCACCGCGGGCAAAAGTCTGAAGTCTAACTTTCTCAACAGGGCACTCTCATTGATACTAGACCCTCCGGTCTCAGAATCAGATCCACCAGTGTTTTCTCCAGCATCGTGTACAACTGTTTTTTCGGCCATTATACCAAGAGGCGACTTCAATTGTGCGACGTAAGAGATTCTCAGTAGGTGAGATTTAATTAAAAGAACTTAAAACTTTCAAAAAGGTTGGCTATTGGTGTACCTAGATACTAAGGTAGGTAGGTAGTTGAGATAGCTTGTAGATAAACCTGCAAGGCATGTCGACGAGAGCCGTGTCCCTGGTCCATGGCATCATAATGGCAATTACTGACTTAAGATAATCTGTAGCAGACTTATACCAGTTTCAGGGAGATCAAGCCGATGCTGCAACGTCTTAAAGTATCGTGATTGGTGAGTTCGTTGATTCTGGAGGATCACGACATTCTGACCCCGTCTTACGTGACAAGCTTCCCGTTCGCACAGCATGTTATATAATTGATCTCATGCCATATTAGAATCCTGTTATATTTTGGAGGGGTTTTTCTTTGTCTAGTCTGGATTTGTTTTTGATTTCCTTTATGGTGAATTATAAGCCTTACATATATGAATTGATCTATTCACTATTACTTGTTATGGATGTCGATGTAGAAGTTTGCTACAACACATCTCACTATACACCAATTTGCTTCTCATGTGTGTATATGCTCTTATCCGCCAATATTTTATTCCATCATACAACGTCATCCTATCTATGCAACTTTGAGTTTAATTGACAATTGATCCTCAAAGGTACGAAGTAGGTACCTTAGGTAGGGTCCTATAATTACCTAGTAGGTATATATGCCCAGTGGGTTGTAACTTCTTATGTACCTAGGTAGGTACATGATAGGATTTAGTATGTATTGGCTCTTAATCAACCCCTTCTAGAACGATTGATGATAGGTAGCACTTGCGGCTCAAAGGACGTTCTACCATAGGCGAGGGTCAAGCGAGAAGGTATGGCAGGACCTGAATACATTAGGGTCTGTGTACTTATTCGACGTCCCTCTAAATAAGCACATGCGATGCGGGGAATAGTATACTAGGTAGGTATAGGCCGGTACTAGGATTGGGTTTCCCGAAATTCGGGCTATGCACTGATTAGGTAGACATCCATAGATTATTTTCTGTGCCCCTCTACTGCTACTCCAACATTGAACGAACCCTGCATGTGGGCCACTTCTATACTAGTACTGCATGAAGGGCGTGGTCCAATATCACCAATATTTAAAGTCCCAAGTATTGTAGTGGTATAACAATCCATTGTGTCAACTCGTCGAAGTCGCAGTAAGGATCATTCCCAGGGACCTGAGAAAAATTATTCCCACAATGGCACCGGTACCTTGTAAAGTTCGGCATGCTCACCGAGAGGGTATGCTTGCTACCAGCTATCTCTCGCTTCCTGTTGACGAAAAATGCTGACTAGGCTATCTTCGGTAGATGTGCCAACTATTCTCGAATTGATCCGAGAGCTAGCCGACTATGAGCATGAGCTCGATGCTGTCGAAGCAACCGAGGCTACGCTTCTGTCTACTATAGCATTCGCCCCCGACAATGTCGAGTCGACTTCTACTGCCCCAAACACAGAGCCTACATCGCCGTCTAGACCAGCACGGTGCCTCCTCCTATTCAACGAGGAAGGGAAACCAGCCGGAATGGCGTTGTACTTTTACAACTATAGCACGTGGCGAGCGAAAGCAGGTATCTATCTCGAAGACTTGTTTGTTCGACCGACGGAGCGGAAGAAGGGGTACGGGAAGAAGCTGCTGGTTGAGTTGGCAAAGGAGGTAGTCGCCACAAACGGCGGTAGGCTCGAGTGGAGTGTGCTGAAGTGGAACGAGCCGAGCATCAAATTCTACGAATCCATCGGAGCTAAGCCGATGAACGAATGGGTTGGCATGCGAGTCGATCGCGAGGGCCTGACGAAGTTGGCTGGCCTTCTAGACTAAGCGAGTCTAAATATAAAGGCACGTATCATATAACCTTAGACGTCTCCAGTTTTATAGAATTTTAGAAGCTGTCTATGATCAAGTGTCTTTTCTTGTGGGCGCAGATCGTATAGGTAGGCCAACCTCGTTGACACCTTGGAAGAATTGTAGATCCTTCTTTCTAGGGCGAGATACCTTGGTCTGGTGATTGCCCCAAGTGACTAACCATTTTCCCGAGCGAGGATTCTTATCGACAATAGGAGATGCCTCCCAGACAGGAAGATATATTCCACGACGTAGCTTTCTTTGATTTAACACCCGGACACCGATCTTGCGGCCGTGTCCTCGAGGATCTTCATCTTCACCACCACTAAGACTCTTCATCTTTCGAGAATTTGGCCTCTCTATCATCCGCATCGGCTTGGTCACGAGATCCGCCCAGAACGGTAGGTGGTCTGATTGAGGATCGTCTTGGGCGATAAGTTGCGCAACTGGTCTCCTCTTGGGCAACTTATAATACTGAGGGTCAGCTTCACCCCGGGCCAGGGTACCCAACTGATCCCATTCTCCCTTAGGCAATGGAGGCAATAGCTGGCGGAGAATCTGGGCCCAATGTTTCTTTAACTTGTTGCGGGCTAACTTCTTGGATAATGGGCGACCGAAACTGTTCTCGGTTGGGATGGCTTTTCTCGGATCTATAGTTCGGCGCATATGATACGGCAGGTCTTTCTCGCTCCGTTCGGCCTGTGATAACGCAATGGCTTTGACCTTTTCCATATCCCAATTGTCCACCCAGTCGCGGTATTGTTGTTCGTCGACGTTGGCTAGTATGGTTTTCTCGTCCAGCTCGGCGGAGGTAGTAGGAGGGTCGCTGGATAGTTCGGTTTTGCCTAGTAGACGACGTCGTTTGCCGGCCCTTCCTGTTGCCATATAGCATAGTCGTAGCATTCGCTTGACATTGCCATCGTTGGCGGACCGAAAATTTCGTAGATGATGGTGAGCATCTTTGATATAGCGCTTGGGGTACTTTTCATGTTCACAATCGCGATAACGAGCTTTTATGCGCGAAGTTATCCATGGCCTACAGAGAGCAGGAAGGTATGTGGCTTCACGTAGTAAGTGTCTGTAGAGATGTAGAGCATTATTCGGGTGGGGGATTTGTAAGGGCATCGCAATAAAATATGAATGAGACTTGAATTTATGAAATTGGTTTATCGGTTTCGTTATCGAGGAAATAAAATGATTTGATCGGAGTTGAATGCCTACCTAGTAGTACCTATCGATATGTATCCACTTTAGTACACAGGTACCTAGTACTTTGTCATTGCATTCTAGGCAGTCTCGGTGCTCGCTGCCCAATGATACAGACGACGATCGCATCAATACGTAAATGCCCCACTAGTAGACTAATAGCTTCTTACCTTTTATGGTAATCCCCCCTCACTTTAATTACAAAGTGAGCCGAAGAAAAGCGGTCTGTGCGTCGCGTCTATTGTAACTTTGGTTGTAACTTGGGGTACATCCATTTTCCTTTTTTTCTTCCCTCCGGCACGAGTCACGACTTCACGATTACACGATTACACGAAACTGACACGTCCCATATGGCTCGCCTTCTGCCCTCCGCGCAGCGCATCGAGACTTTACCTTAACTGCACTATTCCTAATTCCTACCTTTTAATTGAATTCCAGTTTTTTTGAGAAGTGAGACTTTACTATCTACTATCTCATACCTCCGAGTTTGGAACGGGAATTAATAAGATCGTCGCGATTCGCGAAAATTGATTGACGAGAATTACTTAGGCGCTTTAGGTGCGCTTAGGTCTTAAGAATATATGCGAAAAAGCGCGTCTTTAGTACCTTGATCCAAGATATCTAAGATCACTTGAGATTCTGTGTTTAAACTATCGCTAATCCCATCGTCAATCCATCTTCACTTCGTATTTTATATCAATACTAAGGTATATTCTATTATTTCTTTTATTTTTCTCTTTTCTGGATCCTTATATCCCCATTGCTACTATTGATTTATTTTACTTTTTATTTCATTTCGTCATTATTCGTTTAATGTGCGCTATGTCTACAACCATTCATGGATATTGACGCCGCCAAAACTATCGTCAACCCAACTTGATTCCCTTTATTCCATTAACGCCTCATGAGGCACGATATTTTCAGAATTTACCTTTTCACATTTATTGTCGAATTGTAACTAATAACAAAAATAGTTGGTGCATGCATGCAACCTCTATATCTTTTATACCAAATGCGCAATATTTCTATGCCGACATACTAAGAAAGAGGAAAACGTCACGGCGGAATATTTTTTTTTTCTCGTCGCAATCTTATTATTATCGAAGCCCCGGAATTCTGCACATCTCCTTGAATCCACCCCTGGTCCGCTGTCCGCTGATGGCCTCGGCCACAACCGCTATCTCGCACCATCATCACGTCCAAAATCCACATATTCCTACTTTCATCTCCGATCAATCCAATTCTGCCCTCCAGGCACCGCCGAACTTACAACGCCAATCGAACTCTTCTGCTTTGATACCGCCGTCCCAATTCCCACCTTCATCCCTTGATAGCAATCACGGCGGCATAGGCGCTGCCTCCGACAGCGTCAAAATGTCGCAATCACAGCCTTCGTCGCAACAGTCTTTTACCACAATGAACCAACCTGGTCAACCCTATAGACAATTCTCTGATTCGAATATGAGGTTAGGCAATGGCCATGCACATGATCATGATGCACCCCAGATTTACTCGGTTAGACACCTTAGTCCCTACCATCCGGCTAGTTAAACTAGCGCACTAACATTTTACTTATAGGCTGTTTATTCTGGTACTGACGTATACGAGATGGAGGTCAACGGAGTCGCTGTCATGCGCCGACGTGAAGATAGCTGGTTGAACGCAACCCAGATCCTCAAGGTAGCCAACATCGATAAAGGCAAGAGAACAAAGATTCTGGAAAAGGAGATACAGACAGGTGAACATGAGAAGGTACAAGGCGGATATGGCAAATATCAGGGCACATGGATTAAGTTCGACCGAGGTGTTGAGGTGTGTCGTCAATATGGGGTTGAACAACTACTTCATCCTCTCCTAACATACGATATGGGCCAGGATGGAGGCATTGCTGGTAGAGGTGACTTTAACACACCCACTAAAGAGCAAGCTATGGCTGCCCAAAGAAAGAGGATGTACAGTGCAAGCCAGGAAGGGCGTGTCAATGGACTGTCTGGGACTTTCTTCAAGAATATCTCAAGTACGGCATCTAACGCTGTCGCTGCTATTAGCAAGGCCCGTTTTGATTCCCCCGGTCCGAGAGGTCGTAACGGTCCAACGAGACCCCCTAGTTTCAGTCGCCAGTCCTCGATGCAAAACGTCGACGAATATCCTGGAAATTCACAACAAAGCTTCACCTCGGAACATGGCCAAAATGTTGATTCGGCATATTCTACACAGAACACCCATATCTTTAATGGCGATGAGCCGCCACGGAAACGACAAAGAGTTGTTACACCGGCGGATAGTTTTGGGTACAACTCGCAGTCTATGGATATGTATGCCAATGCCTTTCCTGGGTCGCCGACGGAACTCAATGATTCCTTTGCCTACCCCCAGGCTGGCGTCGACATCCACGAGCACGACGTTGCCCCACTACCTCCTCTACCTTTTGAGATGTCTCCCGAGGCAGAACAAAAACGTAATTTATTAATGGGACTCTTTTTAGATCCTAACGCCAACGTGTCAGATTATTCTCAGAATGAAGCTCTGCAAACATTATCACCTGTGGACCTGGATTCTCCAATAGATGCATCGAGTCATACTGCCCTCCACTGGGCTGCTACGTTAGCCAGGATGCCCCTATTACGAGCGCTCATAACAGCTGGAGCTACTCCCTATCGCGTCAACGCATCCGGCGAAACCGCGTTAATGAGAGCTTCGGCGGTGACGAACAATTCCGACCAGGTTTCGTTTCCCGAACTACTCGATATTTTAGGCAATACTATCGATGTTAGAGACAACAAGGGCCGAACAGTTTTACATCACATTGCCCTTACGAGTGCTGTAAAGGGTAGGAGCCATTCCAGCAGGTACTATCTCGAGAGTCTTCTTGAGTGGGTCGTAAGACAGGGGAGCGCGCCGAGTAGCCAAAACACGGCAGCCAACGGTATCTCAAGTCAGCCGAAAATGGGTATCGGACGATTCATGAGCGAGATTGTCAATGCGCAAGACAAATCAGGAGACACCGCCCTGAATATTGCGGCCAGAATTGGCAACCGGAGCATTATCTCGCAGCTACTTGAGGTGGGCGCGGACCCTGGAATCGCCAACAAGGCAGGTCTGAGACCCGTCGATTTCGGCGTGGGCGGTGACGTTGATGAGGATGGAACTAACGGCGATCTGATGGCGATTGACAAATCCAACATTATCAGCAACTCCCAAAAGACCCGGGAGAGCGGTGCTGATATTATCACATGTGAGTTTATAGATATCTCGCGTTTTACTATTGTGTCGATTCTAACTATTTTAGCCATCACCCATCTCTTAAACGAGACCTCAAGTAGTTTCCAGTCCGAGTTAAAGAAGAAGCAACAAGATATCGATTCTCTTCATATCTCTTTGCGAACGACATCTACCCAGCTAGGTGATGCACGACGCCAGCTAGAGACATTAACAACATCTTTCAAGTCACAATCTCTTACACGCCAGAAGATTAACAATCTCAACCGAGGCCGCGACGAGGAACAGAAGCGAATGCAACGTCTCGAGCAAGGCTACGGGCGATTGGACACGAGTAGAGCGTGGGAGTCGGAACTCAGCGCAGCATTAAGTCCTGCGGAAGGGGACGGACCCAACGCCGCCTTGTTACCCAGTTCTACAGTTCTCCGCGCACGCATTCAAGCACTTCGCAGTAGGACCGATGCTATGAAGAAGAGCGTAGGCGCTCTCAAGGGCCGTAGCAAGGATGTCGAGGTCAAATATCGACGCGTAGTTGCGTTATGTACCAACGTACCAGAAAGTGAAGTTGACGCCGTCGTAGACGGCCTATTACGCGCCGTTGAGAGCGAGAAGGGCGAACTGGACTCTGGTCGTATACGAAGATTCCTAGGGGGCGTTGACGGTGTGCAGTAATGAGGCCGCGTGTGACAACTATTTTTGGGGGCGTACTGGGGATTGTCAGGCAAGTCTTTCACGACTTGAGGGCGGCATCGTCTGGTGGGGCTTGCATTTGTCTATGTTCGATATTGAGACCCATCGAGTGTTTGAGGGAAGGTTATCATGACTTTACGTCTATAGCATCATCCGCGACCGATTGTATATAGCCAAATTTTACAGGTTGCGGGGGACAAGAGGAAGCCATAGCTTCACAGTTGTATATGATGGACCTGTTAATATTGCAAAATTGGTGATACTTGGTGATCATCTTTCTTGCTTACCTAGGCTGTCGACGTTCAATATGCTTCCTTCCTGTTGCTCTGTACCTGGCCAGGTATTTTCGTCGACGCCGTTTTTTAGGAAGGAAACGGGGTTAGGAGATACCCAGTTATTTGAGGTTAGGAATGAATGAATACTTGTAATTGCTTTAAAAATGATTTCCAATTATGCATCCAAAGGGTATCGTTACCTAGTATCCGTCCACTTACATATCCCACATACCGTCAGTTAATTTATCTCTTTCCAATCTAATACCGATAATTTGCAATTCACCATAGTTACCTAACAGGTAAGTATAAGTATACTTTACTAGGTATCTCATAACCATCGTCCCATATTCTACTATTGTTCAATCGAGCCCTTCATTACATCCGCGCTCCATCCCGACCTATTACCCTTAGCTCTCTGCACCAACCCCCGCATCAACTTCCACACAGCGCTTTCTTCCTCCTCGTCGCTATGATGCCGGCCAGGGGTAAATAGTTTGAACCTCCCGTCCGATAGCGCAAAGCCATCGCAAGCAACTCTTAGGATGCGAATGCCCGGGTGGAACAAATCTAGTCCAAGATGGTGCCACAGGTACTCTGCTAGAGCTTCTGTGAAGGGTTGATCGATGATCTCGGGTTGGATTTCCTTGCTGTTGTCGTTGTTGCTGTTACGAGCTCGCCATGCCCAACCATCTTCATCTCTGCCACCCGCAAGCTTCCGGCGCCTCCTGCTCTGCTGTTCGTCTGATAAAGTAGTTGTAGAATCTACTTTCCTCTTCTTCGTATATGCGTCATTAGACTCGCTGTCTAGTTTCTCACCTGCGCGCAGAAAGCGGTGTACGTCCGAGGCGGGGATGGTGATATCAACGGATTTTAACCCAAGATGTAGCGCTTCAGGTTTCTGACCTTGATGTTCACCAACAACTTCTCCCTCTCCAGAGCCTTCCAGGACTTGTGATTTCTGCTTAGGGGGTTCGATATGAAAGCCTAATGTTATGAGGACGTCTTTGCTCAGCGCCTTTCTCCCGTTACTGGACCCGTTGTCGGAGAGCCAAGCTTCCCAGCTGCTAATGAGGGACCGTGTGCCTAGCGCAAGGGGGCTGATGCGACAGTCGAAAGTGCTTGATATGAAATCCACCAGTACCGATTTTAGGGGCGCGGGCATCCGAAATAAAAGTAATGGGAGATGTAGAAAAGAAGTCGTGTCTACCTCACTTTTCCGCGAGGTTGTAGTATCCCCATCCATATTCCACGTCCAGGAAGGCTGATACCCAGACCCGGAACCGGCTGAATCCTCATTCCCAGCTAGATCAGGCACAAGCAAAGCGCCGAACCTTGCATTCTCATACCGCAACTCAATACACATCACACGCCTTCCACTCCCATTGCTCGCCTGCTCATCATCCCCATTCCCTAATTCCACACTCCCTTCCCGTCCACTACCCTTCTTCCCCAAAATGCGCTCCCCATCAACCCATCGCCACTCTACACCATACAGCGCCCCTGTACGCCCTAAAGCCCCGCTATCGCTCTCGAGTCCGACCTGCACGCCGCGCACCACGTCCCCAACGAGCACGTCCCTCAGCCGTCGGGACAAGAGTTCCAGACGCTCGGATGTTAAGCCCTGCGGCCCGAGGTATAGAGGAGAGACACGGTACGTAGTGAAGGTCGTATTGAAGAAGCGCGGGGGCTCGGAATCATCGCGCCACGAGTTGTCGGCGGCACTAGGAGATCCGGAAGGGGCGTCAGAACCGCCAGAAGAGGGCGAGCGGGCGACTGGTGGTGGTGGTGGAGATGGGGAGGGGGGAGGGGTGGGCTTGCGTCTTCGTGGTGGCATCTATGAGAGTTTCTAGGGGCGTAGAGGTATAGTTGATTCGGCGTTAAGTTTCACGGGACCTATAAGTAGGTGCGGTGGCTACTCGCGAAAGATTGGCGCGGTGTTGGGAATCGTCGTACAAGGGTGTGTAAATGATTGTATTTTCGTCGCGTCTCGATACAATTATGTTCGATCTCATTCTTGATATTGTAAGTCAATTGGACAAACGAGATAGGCTGGCGCGTATGAAGAGGTAATTTACACGTCGTAGGTTCTCTATGATGTGGTTTAATGAAGTAGAAATCGATACCTCAAGCAGAATTGAGGCTTCAAAAGTTGATGTTCTAATCCAGTTTGTAACGGACAAAAATAGGTGGGGCATCGCCTTAGACTAGCGACTATCATGCGCTAATCATGTAGGGTTATAGTGGGGTTCCCGTGTCGTGGGGTCTTCTAAGGTGATTATGGAAGCTGTAGCCCTGGCCCTGGAGTGGTTGAGTGCGGGGAGTAGCTACTCGTAGCTACCGAGTAGCTTATATTTGTCACTGGTTCAATTACTTCAACTACTGAGTATTTTGTATTCTTCCATCCGTCTATCTCATCTACAATATCATTTTCATACATTTACTAAAAAGCACGATAAACTTATAACACTAGTACTCCGATGGCTTCATCTCTATCCCCATCTCCCTCCACTTCCTCCCCGGAGCCCTTGTTCCCTAAGTTTCTAGACCTCCCACCGGAAATCCGGCACCAGATCTGGCGCTTCGCCGTCCCAGTCCCGGGCATAAACTTCTTCAACGTGCACTGCATCCCCAACGACCATCTCGGCGCAAACCGTAGCAATTCCCCGCCTTGGTTGTACCTAGACCTACGTCGCCTGTCCATCCACGACTCCGACGACGAGGTGAGCCGGTACGATCCCTCGGCATGGCAAGCCCGCGAGACGCTACGTCGCGTGTGCCGCGAGGCCCGGGACTTATGCGCTCTTTCGAAGTCTGAAACCGCCAACATCACGCTAACGCGCCCTCGTCAAGGGTTATTTGTGATGGCGGGAGACGGCCAGATAAGGCACATGACTATGTTCAGCGTACCGGCGATGGTCCCCGAGCCGCTAGAGTACCGGACGGTTTCGGTCCGCGCCAACGACGTGCTCTGCCTGTCCGTCGAGAATTGTAGTTTTAATATGCCGTTAGAAGAAGCTGTGATGTTTGACGACGTGGAAACTTCTACGTTGCTGGGCTGGCCGTATGACCCGCAGCTGACGCCCAAACTGCCGCTTGCTATTTCTCAGTCGAGAATCTGTCTTAGCCTCGCTCGGGGTGATAGATCGGCTCTTGCGGCTTCTAGCGAGGTGTTGCGATGCCTGTTCTCGTTTAGCCACGGCCGGTCGTCAGAACCTACTTCCGAATCGTTGTCCCTACTCATGCTTGACGCGTATAAGCAGGAGCTAGGGAGCCGTCGCGTCGAAGAGCTAACGCCGCGAGACGAAGTGCTTTGGGATCGTTTCGGAGACCGGTATATCGCGCTACCATGGGACTCGATCGAGCTTCCTGCCGAGTACCGACTCGTCAAAGTGTGTCCAGAGAATAATAACATTAGGGAGAGATATCTACAGTCCGTAATACTGCGGTCGCCTAAGAGGCCTGTTGGCTACTCAATGTAGACATGCGCAAGGAGAAGGGAGAAATGAAACTAGAAATTAGGTAGGTAGTAGTTGAAATATGACGATTCCATAGACTGTCGATAACGAAAGCAGTAAACCATTTTAAATTTTCATGATTTGCTAAAATATACACGGACCAGAAATATTAGAAAAGATAGTTGGATAAAAGACCTAATTTCCAACCCCTTTTAACAATGACAGCGCTTGCGTAAATAAATTTAAGGTTGCCAAATACCCTGCCAACAAACGCCATTGCGATGCAGTAGTCTGATGTCTGTACAAGTGCGATCTCACATTCGCTTCCACGCGAAGCCTCTCTTCACCATCTATCCACCTATTCCTTTAATTTCATGCTCACAACATGAGTATAAAATGGGTTCTCACAAGATTACTCCAGGCCCACCATTCGCGTATAGGCCTTGCCACCTATCCTCGACAGACGCGACCTTGCCCCTAATGCTCTCGATTTCCGTGTCTAGCTCCTCAATATTACGTGTTAGGGCGCTAACTTCTTCGAACCGTCGAGCGCCGTGCGCGCTATTAATCATCTTTTGCACCATGTACTTCTGCTCCTCTAACACAATCAAGCGCTCGCGTAGATCCTTCTCTTCTGTCTCCAGCGCGGACACAACGGTGCTAGTTTCGCTCGTCTGGCTTGCCGTTTCCAGTACATCACTACCGTTACGTAGCGGGCTCGCCACGTGCCCGTTCGTGAGAAGCCGGTTCCTAGACGAACTGGAGCTGGAGCTGTTGTGTTTCAACATACGCGGTAGGTTTTTAAGAGGTAACATGTGCATATGTAGGAAAGAAGACGCTGCTTGGTGGATAGCTTTTTGAAGCTGTCGTTGGGCCGGGTTATCCGTCTTCATGTCGCGTATTCGCCGAGCGGCAACATCGTACTTGGTGAAACTATCAGTGAGTCGCTTCCTGATCTTAGAAGCCTCTTGGATCTGTGCATGGTTTGGAGGGATATTCTCGTCCTGCAATGGTAGTAAAGCTCTTTGGAAGGTAGGAATCAGAAGCTGTATACCACGTTCAAATTGTTTCAGCGTCTCGTAAGCCCGTTGATCAGGCGGCTTGTGCACAATGGATTCCACGAAATCCCTTTTAGAGAAGACGGTGAACTTGCAATCTCGACACATGCGAACATCGACACTTATAGGGTTGCTTCCCGCCGGTTTCTCGGACGCGAGAGCAGACGATTTCGCAACGTTCAAGCCAACATCGGACGAGCACCCGGTTTGTGGATCCGAACATACAACACGCCCACATATCCTACAATGATGCCTTCTGAATGTCCAAGAAAACTCTTGCTGACAAAATGGACATTTAGCAACTTTCCCGTCATCCTCCCATGTTACGATCGTCTGTTCGATAGCCTTCCGCTGGTTCCTCTGAGCAGCCAAAGGGGAGAGCAGACTCGTCCCACCACTTGCTCCCGCTTCCTCGGGTGGATGTGCAAGTAATTGGGTCAACTTGGTAAGCCGCTTTTCTAGTCGTGATATTTCGAGGGTCTGTCTGTCGACTCGCTTTCTCCGTATAGTTGCAAACTCTTTCGTATGATCTCTCGTGAGCCCGTTATGATCATTGTATCCTTCTCTTGACTTGTAACACGTTTCACAGACTCTATACCAGTAACCCCTCACAGGTTCGTGCGATGCCGATCTCGATAATTTCATCTGGTACATGGTATGTTCCTCGCAGAATAACCTCCCGCATTGCCTGCAGTTTATGCTGCCGTTAACCGCGCCTAATCTCTTCCCACACGCCGGATCTGTGCATAAATCACTCGGACCCGGTCGTTGCCAATGTGATTTTGTGATTATATCGTCGGGATCTAGGGGTAAATCGGGAAGAGGAGCTCTATTTGTCCTCACCACGGCTGGCGCAGGAGGCGGGACGGATTCGTTGGACTCGAAGACTTCGAGACCACGAAGTTTTTGGTTGATAAGAGAGAGAGGTTGGAACTTCTTAGCCTTGAGAACCTGCTTATCTATCCAGGACTTAACCTCGTCCTGCTCGAATTCGGGTAGTTCTTGGTGCGTATCATCGATATGGCGATTCAATTGTAGCAGGGTCAACATTTCCTCTTCACATATGGGACACACAAGCTTAGATCCCGACTGACTGCCATTGCTTGGTCCTCCCAGACTGATATTGGAAGTAAGATCTTGGGCAAAATCAGGCAATGGGCTCGTACCGGGGGATAGGGAGGCGGCGGGAGAGCCGATAGACAAGGTACTATCAGACGGAGCAGAATGAGCGGACGGGCTCGCTGCTCTCTCCCTCTCTCTTCGAATGGCTGGGGGAGCCGGAGGCGCGAGACCTTTTCCGTTACCTAATATTCTCCCCCCACCAAGCTTGCGACCGGACATGTTGAACTTCTACTAGAATTGTAGCATTTGAAAAGCCATGAGGTCTAACAATTTCCGCCGAGGCTCCCACTGCTACCGTTGTCGCTTTCGCTTTCGTTACTGTTACCGTTGCTAGGTCCGGATTCCGTGGAAAGGATATCAAATTGTAGGAATTGGATTCTAGAAGATCTAATAGGCTCGGCTTGTACATTAGATGGTCTTCGGCGATTTGTAAATTGTAGCGTACATTTGGTTGGGCATCGGGATCGATATGGGTACGGACATGGGAATTTGTTGGCTTCAATGTTGTAGTTGGAGAGTTTCCAAGGTTGCGTCGCAAGGCAGTTAGAATTTAATTTACGAGGGGCGCAAGGCTGTTAATTACATATCCATAGGCGCGTTGGCACCTTCCTAGTCCTAGAAATTAGTACATAAAGGCTGATAACGGCAATCTGTGATTTGCTAGTCAGCGCTATCTATACGCATGTACATACATTCATAAAATGTGGATGGGAAGCTTCAGCTCAGCTTCTAGGTTAGCCTCAGAAGCTACAGCACTTGCCTGCTCGTGCCTGTTCGTGCTGGATTCCTGGAATATTGCTTCCAGAGCAGCCAAAATTCATATTGTCAGGTAACATCAGAACCTTCTAAGTTGGAGCATCCCCACTCTGTCCACTATGGCTAAGCTTGTTTAGGCACCCTAGGCTTGTCGCGTGCCACTAATTGATCTAATTGATAGAAGGAACCACAAGAACCACAAGAACCATCGTTTCTATATCCTGGCTCTTTTCGTCATCACATCTTTTTTCTCTCTTTAAATCACACCGTATCAAATCTCTTGAGGCTCATTATTCGCTGCCTCTCCGATGCCAGCGTCTCCGGAGAAATACGTGTAGGTAATCAAAACAAAACAATCTAAACATGCTTTAATTTGTAGCATACTCCTTTTTCGATTTTTTTTTATCTCTCTCTCCCTCCCTATACGTCCCTGTATTCTTATATCTCTATCTCTTAATTATCTAAGCCCCTGAGCTTCAACGTGTATATTCTCGACGACCATGCAGTAAAACTGTTTCACTTAAAAGCTCGGAGCTTGCTAAATGATAGGATGTCCAGTAACAGCAACGACCAGTTCCCTCAAGTCCAAGGCGGAGGGAGTTTGATCCTCGCCTGGCAGATTAAGAACAAACATGTTTTAGTAGTAGGAGGCGGCGAGGTGAGTAACCATGAATTCTTCTGTAACTCTTCAATTATAACCATGGTCCGTATAGGTTGCGGCTGGCCGCATCCTCAACGTCCTGAACGCCGACGCCCATGTAACCGTCGTGTGCCCGTCTTCCGGTCTTAACCCCGAAGTGCGCCATCGTATCGACAACGACGAGGTCACTCACGTCAACCGCCTCTTCAACCCTTCAGACCTCGAAACGTTGCCCCCAAGCAATGGTCCTCCTGATATGGTCCTTGTCGCCGTTGATGATCCTGCTGCATCCACCCAGATTTGGAAGCTATGTAAGCAACACCGCATACCCGCCAATATCGCCGATGTCCCACCCGAATGTGACTTTTATTTTGGGAGCATGCACCGCGATGGCCCCCTGCAGATCATGGTCAGCACCAATGGAAAGGGCCCCAGGTTAGCTGCCAGTATCAGGAAATGGATCGGTAACCAGTTGCCCAAGGGCGTTGGCGATGCAATCGAGAGGATCGGGGAGTTGCGTGCTAAGCTGCGCCAGATAGCCCCCAGTCCCGAGGAGGGCCCGAAGAGGATGCGCTGGATGACGAGAGTCAGCGATGCTTACAGCTGGGATGAGATGTGTGGCTTCACCGACGAGGATATGGACAATCTCTTGACCTTTTACTCTAGTAACCAGGTACCTCATTTAGATCTACTGAAGGGTATGCGAGGTGGAATGAGCCCGGAAGACATCGATATCTTCGATGGATCGTTCGGGTTCAGTGTCGTCGCATGAGGCTAGCGACCAGCTAGACACCTCGCTAGGCGTTAATCTGGCTGGCTGTGAGGGAGGTTAGCGGACAGCCACGTACGATCTCGCCATGGAGGCTTCGGGATGGCGAAATCATCTACCTATGATCGAACGATCCAGACCACGGTCTGATTAGTCTGTCAGCTTATTTCGTGGCTATTGTGAGATTCCTGGTTGGGATACCCAATTTGAAGGGGAAATGGTCTGGAAGAAAAATTCTGCATTGTATTGTCCAAATTTCAATCCTCGCCAGGGTTCTGGGTATCAAATAAGTTCGGTGGATTTAATGGGATTTATCCTTTCCCATGCTAGAGCTAGACTAGGCTCAGCATGAAAGAGAATCGACATGTCAATTTCTAGGTTCATATCAACTTCATCCCGTGCATGACCCGTATTCGATTCCGGTATCTCTTCGTATGAGTTTATATCATCATTAGTTAGGTGAGCATGTCTATTAGGAATCTTTCTCATCACCTAAGTTGAGGGCTCTTCGACTTAACGAGTTAGCTAGATCTTGACGAAACTTCTTAAGATATGTCTAGGTACTCGTAACTGATTGACTATGGGGATTCTACTTCGTCACTTAGCATCGAGGCTTAGGCACCAAGTACATCATAGAAAGCCACGAGGTTCTATCGCGTACCAACTAGGTACTAATGTTCAAGTTTTCTCTCAATTGCGAGGCTCGGCGAAGTGAATATCATGGGTGAACTCGTAAATTATCTCATAGATATATGAAGATCTCTTGATCTAATTAACTCCTAGGTATGTAGTCCTTACGAAGGCTTGTGTATGGGTACTTATCTATATACCGTAATGGGAACATCCCACTTATGAGAATAATTCTAAATAGCTTTAAATTCTTACATGCATAGGAATGATTTAATTGGAAGAAATGATTTTATACTTAATATATTGATTCTACGATTAATATAATGATTTTATAATCGATTTAATGATTTTATAATTAATTTAATAATTTTATAATTAAGTTAATGATTTTTATTATTACATGTATAAAAATAATTTAATTAAAAGTAATAATTTAAAATTAATAGAATGGTTTTATTATTTAAGCTTTATAATTTAATTTAAAAGTTATTTAATAAGTTCGATCCTTTAATTTTTCGATTTAGTTCAATTTTGCGATTTAATTCGATTATATATTAGTATATTATTTTATTAATTAATTGCTTAATTAATAAATTTATAAATTAAAACGTACTTTAATAAATTAAAAAATTAAAAAATTAATATTTATTTAAGTAAGTATATTATTAATATATTAAATTAATTAATTAAAAAATATATACGTAAATAAAAACGTATATACTTTAATTAAATAATTTAAAAATTACTTACTTAATTAATTATTAAGTAAATAAATTAATAAATCAAACGATTATAAAATTAATACGTACTTATTTTAATTAAATAATTTAAAAATTACTTACTAATTTACTTATTTATTAAATAAATAATTAAATTAATAAATTAAATAATTATAAAATTAATACGTACTTATTTAAGTAAATTTATCGATTACGCGATTAATATTTTAATATATTTATTATTTAAATTAATAAATTTAAAAGTTAAAAAATTAATATAATACGTACGTACGTACTTAAGTTAATATAACGTAATAACTTAATTAAATATTTTATAAAGTTAAATAATTAAAAAATAAAAAAATAAAAAAATAAAAAAATAAAAAAATAAAAAGATTAATAAAAGAAAGTAAGTAAATAAATAAATAAAAAATATAAAATAAAAAAGAAAGTAACGAAAACGGTAAGTATTTTATTAGATATTAAAAGTAATAAAAGTATTATTAAAATAAAAGTAAAAAGGTTAAGTACGAGGTTTTAAATAAATCGAATAAATCGAATAAATCGAATTAATTAAATTAATTAAATTAATTAATTAAATTAATTAAATAAATCGAATAAATCGAATAAATCGAATAAATCGAATAAATCGAATAAATCGAATAAATTAAATAAATTAAATACGTATTTATTAAAATAAATAAGTAATTAAATTAATTAAACTAATTAAATACTTAAATTAAATAAATTAAAGTTTAAGGAACGATTTTTAAGTATAAAAGTTTTAAAAGAAAGTAAAGTTATTTAAACCTTAAAAAATACGAAAAAGTAAAATAATTATTTATAATTAATTCGATTATAATTTAAAGAATAATATTTAAAAAAATAAGTTTATAATTAATTTAATTATAATTTAAAAAATGATATTTAAAAAAATAAATATTATTAATAAATTCAATTATAATTTAAAAAATAATTTTTAATAATATTAAAAAAATAATTATTATTAATAAATTCGATTACGATTTAAAGAATAATTCTTTATTATTTATTAATTTAATTATAATTTAAAAAATAATTTTAGTAATATTCGAAGGAATAATTATTATTAATAAAATAGTTAAAAAGAAAAAAATAATTTTAAAAATATTTTAAGAAAAATAAAACTATTCGCATATATTTTATAGCTTTAAAATAATTCTTAAACATAATCAATTCTCTTTATATACCTTACCACCAAATTTATATGGGAAGGTACTTAAGATTAGTAGAAATATTCTTGTAAAAAGAATAATTATCTTATAAGAATAATTGTAAAAATACCCCTTTTGCCGCTACGGTACCTAACTACACAAAAACGGACTAAAGGCTAGTGATGCAGTCGAATCCTATACAACTCTCTAATAGTTGATAGTTTCTAGAAGCTTACTGTCACGCTTTCGACGTACTGTAGAATCCTTGCAGTGAGACTCCAAAATACGAAGAGGTTTCCTTTGTATGTATATTCCAATACACGCGTTGACATCGCCGAATTTCACTCCGATTACTACGCCAGTGACGCGATAGCATGACTGGATTAGGTGTACTAAGTTGCATACCTATGTAGGTACCTAGGTATGCAATGGCTGGCGCGTGATATGCCCGACGCCCCTTCACCATAAGGTCAGATAGAAGGCCATATGCGGTGATATTAAGACATAGATATAGTCATGCGCATGGGCATCTTAAGAACCTTGGAAGCTTTCGGCTCATAATGAGTAAATCTTATATACATGCCTGTAGGTAGGTACAGTAGGTAGGTATATGTCCAAGGACTCGTACTTAAGAGATCGCACGTAAAAAATTATATACACCTAACCCTATACTTCGTAGGCACGTAATAGAAACTCGCGGACAACATTCACATCGTGCTTGGGGTAAGTATTCTGTCGGTGTTGCCGCGATTCAGGTACCTTTAACATCCTTGCTATTAAGCCCCGGGGTTAGATCTTAGACCAGCCATCCACCTAGGTACCTAGATAGGTAGTTACACATCGCCGAGCTATAGGGAGAAGGGTCCCGAATATACGTGGCGCTTCGCTAATCTGCCTATGGATCAGGATTCCAAGGCCTCGGCGCATGTAAAGGTAGGTACCCAGAACGGTGGAATGGCAGCGACACGTGGGAATATCCATAGGTAGGCATAACTACTAGGTATTTTCCTTATATCACAGGGAGACATACATTAGATCATCAGTATATCTAGCTATATAAACGATCAATCACTCGTACCTACCTAGAGAGCTCAGAGCCTACGTAGGTAGTCGCGCCGATAGGTCACGATCACGAGTATCGGTACTCCAATAACTACCTACCTATACCTATGGACAAGGCACATGATATTCACAGAGCTAGGCCCACCGAGTAGGTACTCCGAGTCTTGTATGATATTATACTCTAACACTTATTTCATTCTCGCCTCCATTAGGATTTCGTTCCGGGTTCCTGGCGGTTTTCGTGGTTAGAAATTCGAGAGTTTAAGATCAAGCAAATAGGAACTCGCAGAAGGCAAGAAATTTATCAAGCTAAGCATGCTAAGCTTAGGTCTAGACATCTCAATCCTCTGCAGCCGCGGCGCACCCACAGCAGGCAAATAGGCGGTCAACCCTATCTGGTGGTGGATGGCGTTCCGGGCAGCATGACGATCAAAGCCACCGGTATAGGGGTGCAGCCAATACCTGCCCGAGAATTCGCTCGCTTGTACGGAGAATTGCGGTTATTAGTTTCTAATGGGTGGAATTCATCTCCGACTAAATTTGGAAGAAGCCTAAGATAGAAGGAGACTACGAAACTACTCCGGCATGAACGGACAAAAGAAGCAAAGAGTCTTTCACCGAGATACACTTAGCGAAGCATTCTTCGACTTACTTGGGGTTCCCCTGTAAAATACATGTTATATTGGAGTTGGTAGATGCCACTTCGCTTAAAGCCGTAAGTAGTGCAGCCATAGAAGCGCAATTGTAACCAAAGGGGTGAGGCTAGCCTTTCTCTGAGCCAACCCTCTCTGCCTCTGTCGCTCGCTATCTCTTCCCTCGGCTGCCAGAGAGGCCCTCTTTCTCATCCACCTACCTAGTACCTATCGTACCTGGTAGGTAAACAGGAGTCACGTTCAAGGTTAATATCCTGTGTCACCGATACGGGTGCCAGCAAGTATGACTTGTGTGCTCAAAGTCAATAAAATTTCATCTTCGTCACTCGAGATCAGGCAGTACCATACCTACATAGTTCCCAGATCCAGTGACCCCCTGCCCAGTATCCAAGCGACGGGTGCTTGCATGAATCGGAAACGTGCTGTAGAGGAAATTTCTCGCGGTCTATCAGCCTATGCCCATTCATCCATTCGTTCTACCTTTTTACGTGAGAGCCCCGGAAATGCTTCACCGGTGGCTGCGCGGGCTATTTTGATTCTGCGCCTGGGCGTACTCGATAACCGGTATAAGGTACCGCTCTTTCTCTTTCGAGAAAGGCATCATACGTTGCCGACAATATCTGGTCGGCGCCAAAAATGGCGATGGTGAGCACAAAACCCACGTGCGGCTCGTTCGTGGAAAACTGAGACAGTGGCTTATTGCGTACTAGATATCTTAACGATACGAAATAATACGAAATGACACAGAATGACACAGGATATAGGACACTGGATGCAGAATACAGACTTTAGAATACAGAACATGCCCGCAACAAAACATGACGACGGACGGCTTTCCGACCCAGATCCATCGGTATGGTAACTCTCTGTACTTAGCCATCGAGCA